TCTTAGTTGCCTCTTCATCGCCAATGATGCGGGCAGCGCGCCGCTGCAACCTATCCAAGGCATCGAGTAAGTACTTTGCGGAGCCATCCCAGAGGTGCGAGCAATATTCCACGCAGGACCGCACTTGTGTTTTGTACAACAAGCACAGTTGATCGGGCGTGAAAAAACGCCGCACCTTGTTCAGGACTCCGAGTTTGCGTGAAGCTGTTTTGATCAACGTTTCGATGTAGTCCTTTGGATTCAGGTCTGAGCGAACTTCCATACCGAGCATGGTAATATTGCTCTGTAGCGCCAGTGTTGTGCCCTGAAGAGAGGGAAGGGGAAGGAATGGCGATGTTTTTGCCGTGAAAGCGCAAGCCTGAGTTTCTTGGCATTGAACTCAACCAAGTTCCTAGTACCCCATTCGGAAATGTGGTCTAAAGCCCGATTGAGCTCAACGACAAGATTCTCCCGTTTCTCCATGGTTTCTACCTGTCCAGCCGCCGCGTGTCCAAAGTATCTCGCATGCACTGTGCTATCGTCTGCATAGCAATGAATATTCGCAAGTGGAATCAAATCATTGATATGCAGCAGAAAGAGTGTGGGGGATAGAACGGAACCCTGAGGAACACCGGCATTCACTGACATGAACTGCGAACTACATCCGTCCGTAAGGACGCGAATTCTACGCTCATGCAGGAAGTCAGCTACCCAGGCGCAGAGCTGAGCAGGCAGACCGTATGCAGGAAGCTTGGAGAGAATGCTCTTGTGCCAGACCCTGTCAAAAGCCTTGGCGATGTCAAGGCTAATAGCCAGAGACTCTCCCCGCTTGTCTATAGCTTCACCCCAGATGTGTGTCACGTACGCTAGAAGGTCACCCGTCGATCGATTCGGCCTAAATCCGTATTGACGATCGTGAATTAGAGAGTAATCTTCTAGGTAGCGGGTCAGATGGTTGTTAAGGACCCTTTCTAAGACTTTACACAACACTGAGGTGACAGCTATCGGCCGATAGTTGGCCGGGTCTGAGCGGTCCCCTTTTTTGGGCACCGGTTGCACATTGGCGTCTCTCCAAGCTTCCGGCACACGCCCCAAAGAGTAAGAGAGTTGGTACAGTCGCGTAAGCACGGGAGACAACTCCGCTGCACAATGTTTAGAACAACTGCTGGGATGCCATCGGGTCCACTAGCTTTCCGGACGTCGAGTGATTGCAATTCCGCACGAACATCACGCTGCCTGATTTTAATGTCAGGCATCGTAGTGCCACAATGAGGTAGTGTAGGTGGCAGTGCATTGCAATCACTGATTCGGGAGTTAGCCGCAAAGAGCTTTGCCAACAAATCGGCTTTCTCTTGCGGCTCATGAGCTAGTGACCCATCTGGACATCGCAGAGGTGGCAGCGAGGGCTGGCAAAAGTTGTGTTGCACGGCCTTAGCCAAACGCCAAAAACTACGGTGCGTTAACAATTCGTGGCCAGTACGTGCTACACGTTGGGCATCCGCTCTGATGTAAGCCTTCTTACAAGACTTGGAAGCACTATTATAGGCAGCTTTCAATGAGTTAACCCCGGGATCCTTAAGAGCGCGGCCTCTGATCCAAGCGCGATATGCCGCCTGCTTACGAGAAACAGCATCGGCACAATCGCGATTGAACCAGCGGTTACGTGTGCCCTTACTGATGAGATCAGAATGTGGAATGTAATACTCCATTCCCATTACGATCTCCTCAGTAATGGCAACGGCACTGGATGATAGGTCCTTTTCATTGAAGCAGCGCTGCTTCCAAGGGACAGACGCAAAGTAATCGCGCATACCATCCCAATCTGCCGACCCATAGTGCCAGACCCTGCGTTTGACCACCAATGGTCGAGGGGTTTTGGCCTGTGGCACCTTGACAGATATCAGGCAATGGTCTGATGAACCCAGTGGGGCTCGAACCACAATCTGATACTCCTGCGGATGGGTCGTAAGCAGAAGGTCTAGTAAAGAAGGCGCTTGGCTTGCTATATCTGGGATCCTGGTGGGCTGATCAACCAGTTGTGTCAGGTCGTGCGTGAGAGCGAATGCATGGGCAGAGATCCCTGCATGGTCAGTTTTGGAAGAGCCAAGCCACAAACCGTGGTGGGCGTTAAAGTCTCCCAAAAACACCAGTTCTGCGTTGGGAAATTGCGCCTGGGCATCATCTGCTACCCTACTGAGGTGGTCAAACAGTCGAGTTGTCTCAGCGTCGCCGGTGTGAGATCTGTAGAGGCACACGTAGACTCTGGCCAAAGGACCAGAGTCTACATGTACCGCCAACATGGAAAAGGAGGGGTCTTCCAGGCAGCTCAAACGGCGACAACAAACATCCGCCCGAACATACAGGCATACGCCGGCTTTTGCTTTGAAGGATTCTTCAAGCGCGTAGCCGGGATATTTAAGGTAGCCTGTGTCAGCGGGCGGAAGTATTTGTGTCTCCGTGAGAAACAATAGTGCTGGCCGTGCTGTCTCAAGATGGTGGTGGACAGCATTGAGGTTAGAGTGGAGTCCGCGTATATTACAGAACTCAACCTCAAACAGCGCGGAAGGCGTGGGGGTGTGCACCGCTGTACAACCAAACTTTATTTTACGGGCTGCCATCATGAGAAAAAAGTTGAGAGACGTGAATCGAGAGTTAGTCGCGACAAAGACAGGCAAATATATGGAGGCACGTTTTCCCGAGTAACTGCCTGCGAAAGAGATACGCCGACCCAACGGACGGAAGGGCCCCCGCACCCTCCCGGGAGTGGCCGCCGGGACCCCACGCCCCGGTCACCAACCGGCACGACGGTCCACCCCGAGATTATGCGTGACATGATGGGGCAGCCTCGCGAACTGGTTAGGAACGCTCGGGCCCCTGTACTGTGCCACGGGCGGCCAGCGGGACAGCCGTTTCTACGGGTCTCCCTGGCCGGTGGGTCGATGCAGTCCTCCCGGCATCGGTTCGACGGATGCCTCCACTGGACCGAATCTGTCGCGGCAATCTCCACTCGAGCTCTGGTTGTACGCTGGCTGATCCCGAAACGCGCGTGAAGCACTTCACGGGTTTTTCACCATGTGTACGGTGGTAACAAACCAGGCGGGTGTTAGGCACCCTACCACCAGGAGAGCAGACGGAAGCTCTGATATCCCTCAGTCGCTTCGTACGACACCCGCGGGAAGTGAAGGGGCGGTGAGTGGTATTCTTTCTCCGTCACCGCACGGATAAATATTAGAAATTAACATAGATACATACTACGAAAGGAATACACATACATAAATTCCGCTATTATATTTAAATATATATATACACATAACATGATGAAGATTAATAAAGTGACTTTATAAATTCTAGAAAAAGACCATTGAAGAACTAATCCTTCAACTGTTGCTTGCCCTGACCCATCAACTCTCATCTCTCTTTAATTGAGTAACAATTTAATTATTTGGCAAATAGGTTTAATCAGAGGCTTAAAAAATCTGCGTTAAATTAAAAGATTTATTGCTTGTCAAAACTTTTGCAGTAGATAAAGGAGCGGCCGCGGAAAAGATTCGTGTCCTCAATGGAAGACAAAATATCTCTATTGATATTAAAATTATCTTTTTGTCGCTGCGAGAACCCTGCGCGACTTGAAAAAGGGGTTAAAGTGGGACCCTTCTAGAACGCGGTAGTGTGTCAAGCCAAGTTTAATCTAACAGAACTGGCGAGCAGCACCATGTGTAATGAAGCCACTTTTGATCCCCTTATAACTCAAAAACTTTGACTCACATAAACATCTAAAGAAAAGTTTTACCAGAAAAAAAATCCACGCGGACCAGGCAGCTTATGGGACTCGAACCCTTCGCAATCCGGGCGAATGCACTGACCATTGGATTGCGAAGGGTGCGGGTTCGAGTCCCGTCCGCTGCCTGGTCCGCGTGGATTTTTTTCTAATAAAACTTTTCTTTAGATATAAACATCTAGCAGTTAAATGCTTAAAAACTAAAAACATAACTATAATTGCTACTTCTTCTTTCAAATGTTTAATACTTGAAAAAGTATTCATTTGACATTGTAGGTTATCTACAATGCTAAGAGATGGCGCTGCCTTGCAGCTTAAGGCTAGCAAAATTTCGACGCGGCCATCAGGGCCGTGGTAGCATAATTATAATAATAATTTATTGGCACCAAAAAATTATTTTTGTACACAGAATTTTATAAAATCTTACAATAATAGGAGAATCAATCAACTGTATAAAAATACATCTGCACCTGAACTAGGAGACCTGTATCTCAGGTGCAGCGCTCTTTATAAAAAATACAAGCTGTTTTATATACTCAACGCGTACAGACATATTTTCCAGAGAAGTAACAAAATAATAAGTGTTAAGTGTAGCGAGTGAAACCTCTCATGGTGAGTATAGTGAATATGAGTGTGTGTGTGTGGAGAGGTTGTATAAAATTAATATATTTATTACCAGAAATGGAATCATAAACAGTAAATCTACATTGTCTCCAAAAATAATTCAGTATCGTTATAACTTAAAGTTTTAAGCCATTTAACTGTTGAATACTTGACACTATAGAAAGGGAGATGATAAATTGATTTTTATTTACTTTATTATAAAGAAAGGGTCCTAAAAAGTTAAAGAATTTTTGACCAAAACAGTGTTTGGTTAAAAATGATGAACAAACAGTAAAATTCCTACGTTTAGTTAATACATTGGCATCAAATTTTAAAAGTGAGTGTTGCTTAAGGATCACCTGTAATATAAAAAGCTGTCTTACAGTTAATACATCAAAATCCTTGTACAAGAGAACGGTCGGATAGTAAATTGGGCGAATTGGTCAGTGCATTCGTCCGGATTGCGAAGGGTGCGGGTTCGAGTCCCGTCCGCTGCCTGGTCCGCGTGGATTTTTTTCTAGTAAAACTTTCTTTAGATATAAATATCTAGCAGTTAAATGCTTAAAAAATAAAAACACAATCACATAAAATTTGGCTCATTACTAAGACTACAATGTTAGACTACCTAATTTCAACCGTATTATTTAACTGCACTAAAAGAAAATTACTATATCTCGGAATCGAAATCCATTTGAAATCGCTTAATAAAACACTTGGTGATGAATCTTATTATAAAACAATTTTATTTATTTTAACAAATATCTTATAAATCAGTCTTAATGCTACTGCTCTTGTGCCATTGTCTGAAAGCTTGGACTGCGTTCAGAACATCTTCAGAAAACACCTGAGGTAGTTCCAGAGCCAAGAAATGACCGCCGTCATCTATGGGGTTGTCTTTCACAAGATTTGGATATTTCAACTTGATAAGCCAAGGAGGTAAGTATCCCAATTCGTTCTTCCCTTGAATGGTCCACGTCGGTACTTTCGTTGGGATTCTGGAATAGAAATTTGACTTAGAAATGCTGAAATAATTGGCTTTAAAGCTAAGTAAGTCCGTCAGATTAATTATCAAATAATCATCATCATCATTATGATCAGCCTATTAATGTTCCCATTACTTGGGGCACAGGCTTTCCCTCTCCATCTATAGGAATAGGGAGATTGGGCCATGACACATCACGCGGGCTTAGGTCGGATTGGTGTGTGCTAACGACTGCAGATACAGCCGGGACCAACGGCTTTACTGCCCTCCAAAGCACGGAGGAGCTCTAGATAGTAAATTTTTGATCACCCGTCCAATGACCGACAACTGCGAAAGTCACTTAACTTCAACGATCGCAACCGGACGCGCTCACCACCTGTGTCATCGAGCTCCTCATGAAAGTGAGTTGTAATAATTCTTAGTGGAAAATAAATCCTAAAACCTTAGTTTAAAAGACCAGTTTCTATGCTTCGAGAACCGGGAGTACTATATATACTTTTTTTTAGACCTGGTTGCAGTGTCTACCATAATGTCATTACCCTGGATTGCAACACTTCAAAGTGCCTTGGGTAAGTTAAGAACTTTTTGTTACTCCAAATTAGCCTAAACATACAAAAAATGGGTGCGTGTACTTATGTAGGCGCGTGAGAAGTTATCCTTCTTTGGCATCGTTTAAAATTAGTTTTTAATTGCATGCAAATAATTAATTACAATAAATTAATAAAAAGTCTGGAAAAGGACACAGTCAATAAAGTTCAGTTTTAATTTGAAAAAATAAATAAATAATCAAAATATTCAATTAAAATCGCTACTGAATATAATTTATTAGAACATATGTGATTTACACTTGTATGAAACTCAAACACGTGTTCCGAATATACAAACTAGAAACATGTGGATAAATATTATAAATATGAATACCTATAACTGTTACTTTATTACAAAAAATAAAGAAGTGGTTTTTGGTTCTACTACACCAATGGTCAAGAGATGGCGCTGTAGTCTCCTGAATCGCGCTTTGGTTCCGTTGTTCAGATTAATAAATACTTTTGATAGGCCTTTCGAAGTTGGTCACCAACTTCATGCTGTTAATTTTTTGTGTTACAGTGATGCGCGCGCATCTTAAAATTTCACTCTCATAATTTTTTCATAACGCGCCTAAAGAAGTATAACACCAAAAACTTCCGTGTTTCCAACGTGATACAACTATACTGTAAAATTCTTCTCTTGCATCATAAAATCCGCTTAAAGTGAAGCGTCCGTCTGGGGAAACAATCTCCACTTTACTGAGGACCACAATAACAGTTTTGGTGGTGATCTGTTTCTAGGGTTCCAGGGCTCCGCGGGGTATTGGATTGAGTTTTTGAGCCGGCAAGGTGAGGATGACTGCAGCGCCACACTTTCTGCCACATCATCTATCTTCGCGACTGGAGTCAACTTCCACTTACCATCAGGTGGGGGTAATTTGTTACGCCTCGTATAAGAAAATACAAATTATAACTTACTCGTCCATCTTTAAGGCCATGTATTTCTTGTTGAAACACTCTGAATATAGCCTCATGGAAGTGGTTATGGATCTGGTGGTCCAATACATCATCAAGTTGTCGATCAGTTGATCTTTGGTGAATCGGAACTCGAGGCCGCCGTCGACCTTCGACCGGTGTTCCTTACGAGTCCAAGTTGAAAATTTCTCCAAAATATATGCCATGAGCCCTGATGGAGAGTCCAGCAAAGATATACCTGGCGAAAATTTAAAACAAGTTGATTAGGCATATTTTTGGCAAAATATAACTTATAAATAGAACAGGCGAATGAAACACATATTGTTTTAAACTCATATGGCCACTTACGTAGTTATAAGCGAGATTGCTACCGTAAAACTATGTTGTTTTTGCAATTATTTTGATTTGCTGAAATTAACGAAAACTTCTTACCAACAGTATCCGGTTTTGTAGCTTGTATATGCATATAGCCGCTTTCTTCTAACATGAAGCTGTACACCTCTGACTGTGGGTACATACGATCAGCTAACTGTCGGTCCACCACTAGAGGAGGGTAAATTGAACCCAACAACTCAAAGAAGGTAACAGTCGGTGTCAACAAGAATATTAGATTTGTGTGGTAACCAAGGACCTCCTGCAGCCAGAAAGGAATCAATTAAATAAGTTATTATAGTTATATAACATGATTATTGAGAGCATAATATCGCGTTTTTATTTCTGAAAGTCGAACGATCCAAACAATTTTATAGGACTTTAAATGGTCCGTTACCTTCGGGAAAAGTGTTGCCATATTAGATGTTATAAGGGAACCCCAATCGCCACCCTGGATATAGTACTTCTGGAAGCCGAGCCTCTGCATCAGATTCCTGAAGATCACTGCTATTGAAAGTGGATTTAATCCTGGTCTCACTGAAGCCTGTTAAAAGAAAAAAAAAGATTTTGCGTAAATTGAAAAGTGTTCAGTCTATTTTATTACGTTTCATTGACTGTTTAAAGATATACTGCTATTTATTTAACATGTATATGAAATTCATAATGCTCATTTTCTCAATTGTTGCACTATAGCCGCCTAGATGATAAAACAAACTTTGTTTTGAATCTTATAATATATGCTTTCGATAGTTTAAACTATAAATTTATATTTGACAATTTACTTATAGAAAATTTTCATCTTGGTAGAAGAAAACCTAAGTTGGTTTACCTCAGAATGTCCATATCCTGGTAGACTCGGTATGATCAGTTCCAGCACGAAGTCCCTGTCTTCACTGACGGCAGTCAGGTGAGGTATGGCCTCGTAGAACTCCCTCACGGAGCCAGGCCAGCCGTGGAGGAGAAGCATGGGCACCAGTTGCTTGCCTGCTGGAACCTGTTGGAAATGAAAAGTTATCATAATGAATGTGTCCCTTGCAAAAAATGCAAAGTCACCTCATTTTAGAAAGTCGAAAGAAAAAGCTTGTACTGGCCATCACATATTATATTAAAAAAACAATGTTGATAAAAATAATAACACAAATAACAATGGCAATCAGGGCTTTTCATAAACCCTTCATATAACAGTATCATGCTGTTATAGTGGGAAAATATATTCTACATCATAACAATGCTGGTATCCTGGAAATAATAGTAGTGGAAGCATTTAGAAAAATTATAAATTCATGCTGTTTAGAAATGTTTTCATTTTATTTGATCTAACATATATTTTGAAGAAGCAGCTGATTTTTATGTCGTGTTGGAGGAAAGTATCATCCTTTTTAAACAACTAACATTACAAGTTATTGTTTTGTTCCCAAAATAAATAAAGGTGACATAGCTCAATGAGAAAAGATAACAGGGTTCAGTAATAATTAGTTTTTTTATTGTTTTCATAACAAAAATTACAACTACAAGGCTAAAAAGCACGCTATAAATCGCAGATTTGTCCGGTGTGTTTTGTACAAATACGTTTCAATATCATATTAATAATATACTAAGGTAGTTAGTAAATCCCTTCAATTATTTTTCCAAGTGCTATATAACTGTTGAGCAAAAGGTAAAAATCAAAGTGATGTGCAGGGAAGGGATGCAAACGCCTTTACCGGTTCGTTCTCACAAATCTACAGGTTGCTCAAAAAAAATGTTTTTAATTTACTTTTGATGTCATTTGCAGTCATAGTCTTTTTAAAGTTGAAGTCTAAATCATTAAGCCAGCGGGGGATTTAAGTGTTGCAGTTCTTTTGCCATATACATTATTTTTAATAATAAAAACTAATTATTTAAATAATAGACTTTGGAAAAAAATACTAAAGAAACGGTTTTGGCTGCTTACCTTAGGTGTAACCCTGATGAAGTGGATGTTCAGTCCTTGTATGTTAGTTTTGTATTGAGGGTACTGGTTCAGGAAGTTCTCTCTCTCCGTGAAGTTGTACTTCTCCAACCAGTACGTAGCCCAGGAATCCAAGGTGTTGGTGTTGAAGCCATACTCGAAAGCGACGCCTTCAAGGGGAGGTGTGAAAGGACGACGGCTTTTGAGGCGGTCCTTCAGGTCCTTTACTACCTTGAAAAGGATTGAGAGGAAAACATTAAAATGAAGTCAAACCTTACAGTGCGATGCTTAACTGGGCAATCATTGAATATGCCAGAAAAATCATATTTACTGATGGTCTGCAAAGTTTCAATATGACATACACCTTATGAAATTATTTTGAAAATCGTCTAATTATGGGGCCTTTTGTGGGGCTTTACTCCTCCCGAAGTGAGTTTCACTTCATAAACGGGGAAGAGATCATTGACGCTTACATAAGCTTTAAAGATGATGAGACTTACTGATTCAGTAAATTTGATCTTGTAGGGCTTGATGGCTGTGTCTTCCTTGGGCTCTCCGTGCCCCCACCACGCATTCAGATCAACCTCGGGCAGTGGAGGTGGGCTCTTTAAATATAGCAGGTATATCGGCAGGAATGCCACCACCGCGATCAGAAGTAGAATCAGCAGCTTGATCATCTGAAAAAACAGAATATTTCAAACAAGCAGCATTATGCCCGACAGTTTCACCCGCGTTAATTTTAGGAAAACAATTACAGATGTTTATAGTGAGTCATGGTTATAATATAGTGAGAACCCACAAATATCAAAAATTAATCAGTCGTTTATTTTTATGAATTTACTAAAATGTAAACACCCAGTGATAATAATATACTGATAGTCAAACTGATAATGCCCATTTGCCTGATAAAATTTGTTTCAAATTATTTCTAAGCTCGATTGCATAAACAGCTATTTTTAGACGAACGCTCGTTTCGAGTAAAATAAACAGTTTTGTTTACGAATACTTATACGTTTGAATACATGTATATGTCGTGGCCATATCGTACATTTGCTCATTTCATGAAATGCTCGAGTATTTCATGAAATGGTCGCATTTCATGAAATGTTTCACTATCTATTGGCCACATCATGATGTGGTTTGCGCAGATCAATGATGAGAAATCGTTTCACGATATGGCCAACTAAACACGCGGCTTCTTCATGAAATGGCCAAAATTATTTGATCATATCGTAAAGTTATTAAATTAGTTACCGGTGGAGGCACTGCAAGCGCTTTGTTTATATTTGTAAATGGCGGCCGCTGCCGACAATGTTGTTTCTCGCAGTGATAAAGTGCATAATTTGTTATTAAATGAGGAAGAAAGTGATAACAAAAGGGTTTCGAGTACTAATCAAGTTAAGCAAAAACTGAGTAAAATTAAAAAAACCGTGGGTTGGATCGCATTACACAGGTTAGTACTTTACTACATCTTCATTATTATTCACTTATTTTATTAAAATACTTTATGCCAGTTAACGTATTGTGTTTCTATTAAATTAATGTTATTCTTCGTTTGTGAATTATGACATAATAAAGGTAATGTTTTTTCTTTTTTAAGTTATGAAACAAATTGAGGAGAGTAGGGTGACTAAGCAAAAGAAATTCATGGACTATTACTGGCTGCCAAAATATGTCATTTTGGAAACTGCAGATGAAGTAAAAAGTGCGGATGAGAATCAAGCCTACTATTGCAATATGTACCAAAGTACCTTTTTATTTCCAAATATTTGTTAGTTTTCTAAATGTAAATGATGTTTACATTTGTGAAACTACATGACACGTTGATGTTTAATTTAGAAAAAAATCTTTGATATGTGTATTTTCTTAAAAAATATGATTCAATTTGTTTGTGTCATTCGGACTCAAATGACAATAAACAAGTTCTTAACATATTCTGGATTTTTATTAAATATTTTATGGACACCCTAATTATACGATCCGGCCAAATGTGGATGACAAAATCGTTAAACGTTGACGATATAATGATCTGCTCAAATTAAGTTAGCCACATCATGAAATGCGACCATTTCATGAAATACTCGAGCATTTCAAGAAATGAACAAATCTACGATATGGCCACGACATATATATAATAACGAATTTTTTTGAGTTTCCACAAAAATAATGTTAATTATGTTATAATGAGAACATGATTTCACAAAAAGTAAACAAGGTCACAGTAATACGACAATGTCATTAAAATTATGGTGCACCTGCACTGCTGTTAAAAATTTCGATAAAAATTAGTATTTAATACTTTTGTAAAAACATTTAATCACAAATAATCACAATGTTAGAAAATGTTTTCTTGTTAGGTAATGTTAGTAAACATTTCAAACAAAATATTGATTTAACAGATTTTGACAAAATTAAACATTTCCGTTTGTAAACATATGTTTCTCTAACTCTTAACATTTGGTTTTAAAGACGCTAATCCAATGAGCAAATCTAAAATATTAAAGAATATAAACGAAATATATTTAACACATTCACTTAATTCGTTGATGAGCAATTATGTACTGAGCGAGTTTGTTGATGTTTACATCTAACTTGAACTGAATATTAATTTAAATGTCGCTTTTATTTCCGAACAAATAACTTCTTCAGTATTTTGAGAGCTAGGCATGTTTTGGTGAAAAGGTATACGTGTTGGAATTAAGTTTTTACCAATTTATGGCTTACCTTATACGCTGTGCCATCTAGTAAAGAATGTGGCTTTATTGTATTTGAATAATGTTATTTATACTAACAACAAACGTTGGAAAAAAGATAAGAAATTAGATAAATTTATAAATCTCTACATTTCATAGACTAAGGATGACACAACAATATTCACGGTCCACCCAGTCATTGCCAAGGTCGAGATAATAAAAACAAAATTGGTCGTACCTTGCCCGCGGTGCGTTGCTGACTAAAACGTGTGGCCTGGTCGGCTGCCACCCGAGGACTGATAAAACATCACAACAGTTTAAGTAGCTCTGATACTGATTAAATATACTATATCTTAAGTGTTTGGGGATAAAGCAACGAATTCGAAACATAAAAAGGTTAAGTAAGGTATGAATATTAATGAGTAGTTAGGATGAGACTTCATGGGATAAATACAGAAAGACCCTTGAAATCATTTCAAATTTTTTGGGATCAAGTTAATTTTTGCAATAAAAATGAGCCGATCTATATTTACCGAATACAGTCTTCTATGTATTGATAAATCTGTTGGTAAGTCGAGATTAAATCTAATTTTCGCTGTGGTCAAAGGATACGCAAGACTCTATAATACAAAGCCGCCATTCCCCGCTAAGACTGATGACATGGCTGAAAGAAACTTGTGCTAAAATCACTAAAGAAGACAGGGCAAAAGTGGTAGAAAAGGCACGAAAAATAATAAAGGAAGATTATGACAGAGACGTCAATATCGATATTATAAAAAATGAAATTTATATATAAATATACAGACGACGAAAGCTCATCTGAATATATTGGCTCATCATTAGACGAAAATTACTGATTTAAGATTCAATCACTTCCCCTTTTTTGTGACTAAGTGAATTATTGTAACTAAAATTTTTGAATCGAACATAAATTGACCTTTTGTATCATTCTATCATTTCAAATTACCTACTATATAAAGTTTAAGTTACATTTTCTAGTCAGAACTAAATCCAATGCACTTTACAGTACAATTAGTGTTTAGTGTTACCATTTTGTGAAATTTTGCTCCACACAACGTAAAAAGCTATGGGTATACACTATATTTCAAACGGTATTATTTCACTGCACCAAAAGAAAATAATATATACCTAAATTCATTTGTTAATCGGTTAATAAAACACTTGATGGTGATTTTTATTATAAAACAATTTTATTTATTGTAAAATATAAATTTTATTTACAAGCAAAAAATTCGTTTGTAGGAATTGCGATATTTTATAAATCAGTCTTATCGTTACTGCTCTTGTGCCATTGCCTGAAAGCTTGGACTGCATTCAGAACGTCTTCAGAAAACATCTGAGGTAGTTCCAAAGCCAAGAAATGACCGCCGTCATCTATGGGGTTGTCTTTAACAAGATTTGGGTATTTCAACTTGATAAGCCAAGGAGGTAAGTATCCCAATTCGTTCTTCCCTTGAATGGTCCACGTCGGTACTTCCGTTGGGATTCTGGAAAATAAATTTTACTTGTAAGTGTTAAAATAATTGGCTTTAAGGCTCGTAAGTTTGTCAGATAAACTATCAAAATTTCATCAACATCATCAGCCTATTAATGTCCCCACTGCTGAGGCACAGGCCCTCCATAATGCCATTTTTTTGGGAGTGAAATAAAAATGATAAAAATACATGTTAAAATTATTTTGAACTCACATACTAATTAGAAGAAAATAAAATTTTACTAATTGAGTAATTCCTACTTTAATATTTAATCAAAACTAATAAATAAATAGTAGTGAAACATAAATAAATTAAATTAGATAAGTTGTATTAATAAGGTTAACCATTTCTAAAGTTGTCACTTCTAGTAAAGGCAGCGAGCATTAATATGCTCGATAATTCGTTAGTAGTTCTGTGGCAATGCTTATGATCTGCACCTGAGTGAGACTGTACGAGTCGTATTGTTTATAAATAAAAGCTCTTTAGATATAATTTGTAATAATTCTTAGTGGAAAATGACATTTAAAACCTAAACATAAGTATAGAAGACCAGTTTCGAAGCTTCAAGAACCGGGAGTACTATCTCATATATCAATATTTTAAGATATGGTTTCAATGTCTACCATAATGTCATTACTCTGGAAAGCAACACTAGATTAAAAAGCAGTCAAAGTGCCTTGGGCAAGCTAAGAACTATTCTTTACTTCAAATTAGCCAAATATACAAAAAAACTATCCGTGTTTCCAACGTAATACAACTTCAGTGTAAAATTATTCTCTTGCATCATAAAATCCGCTTAAATTGAAGCGTCCGTCTGGGGAAGCAATCAACACTTTACTGAGGACCTCAGTAACAGTTTTGGTGGTCATCTATTTCTGCTAGTGAGTAAGGTTCCAGGGCTCCGCGGGGTAGGGGATTGGGTTCTGGCCGGCAAGGTAAGGATGGCTGCAGCGACACTCTTTCTGCCGCATCATCTATCTTCGCGACTGGAGTCCACTTCCACTTACCATCAGGTGGGGTGGGGTAATTTGTTACGCCTCGTATAAGAAAAATACAAATTATAACTTACTCGTCCATCTTTAAGGCCATGTATTTCTTGTTGAAACACTATGAATATAGCCTCATGGAAGTGGTTATGGATCTGGTGGTCCAATACATCATCAGGTTGTCGATCAGTTGATCTTTGGTGAATCGGAACTCGAGGCCGCCGTCGACCTTCGACCGGTGTTCCTTACGAGTCCAAGTTGAAAATTTCTCCAAAATATAGGCCATGAGCCCTGATGGAGAGTCCAGTAAAGATATACCTGACGAAAATTTAAAACATGTTAATTAGGCATATTTTTTGGTAAAATATAACTTATCAATAGAACAGGCGAATGAATCACATATGGTTTTAGACCGATGTGGCCACTTACATAGCTATAAGCGAGATTGCTACCGTATAACTATGTTGTTTTTACTATTATTCTGGTTTGCTGAAATTAACGAAAACTTCTTACCAACAGTATCTGGCTTTGTAGCTTGTATATGAAAATAGCCGCTTTCTTCTACCATGAAGCTATACACCTCTGACAGTGGGTACATACGATCAGCTAACTGTTGGTCCACTACTAGAGGAGGGTAAATTGAACCCAACCACTCGAAGAAGGTAACAGTCGATGTCTTCAAGAATACGACATTTGTGTGGTAACCAAGGACCTCCTGCAACCAGAAAGGAATCATTTAAAGAAGTTATTATAATTATATAACATGATAATTGAGAGCATTATGCTCTTTATTTTTGAAAGTGCAACGATCCAAATAATTTTACTTTTATAGGTCTTTAAATGGTCTGTTACCTTCGGGAAAAGTGTTGCCATATTAGATGTAATAAGGGAACCCCAATCGCCACCCTGGATATAGTACTTCTGGAAGCCGAGCCTCTGCATCAGATTCCTGAAGATCACTGCTATTTCAAGTGGACTTAATCCTGGTCTCACTGAAGCCTGTTAAAAAACAAATAATAATAAAAAAAAAATAAGCGTAAGTTGAAAAGTTTTCAGTCTATTTCATTACGTTTCATTGACTGTTCAAAGATATAATGTACTTTCTTTAACATATATATGAAATTCATAATTCTCATTTTCTCAATTGTTGCCCAGACGATAAAACAAACTTTGTTTTGAATCTTATAATATAATGCTTTTGATACTTTAAACTATCAATTTATAGAAAAATTACATCTTGGTAGAAGAAAACCTAAGTTGGTTTACCTCAGAATGTCCATATCCTGGTAGACTCGGTATGATCAGTTCCAGCACGAAGTCCCTGTCTTCACTGACGGCAGTCAGGTGAGGGATGGCCTCGTAGAACTCTCTCACTGAACCAGGCCAGCCGTGGAGGAGAAGCATGGGCACCAGTTGCTTGCCTGCTGGAACCTGTAGGAAATGAAAAGTATCTTAGTGAATGTGCACCTTGCAAAAAATGCGAAGCTACCTAATTTAAGAAAATCAAAAGAAAAAGCTTATACTGGCTATGACACATTATATTATAAAACAATATTGATAAAAATAATAACACATAAAGAACAATGGCAAATTAGGACCCTTCCTCAGGTTTATGCTGTTATATTGGGAAAATATATTCCACATCATAACAATGCTGGTATTCTGAAAATAGTAAGTAGTGAAAGCTTTTATAAAAATTCGAAATTCAATTAGCTGATTTTTATGTCGTATTTGAGTATCATTTTTTTAAATTAACGTTATAAGGTATTGTTTTGTTCCCGAAGTAATTAAAGGTGACGAAGCTCAATGAGAAAAGATTTTTTTCATTGATTTCATAACAAGAATTACAACTACAAGGCTAAAAAGCACGCCATAAATCGCAGGTATTTGTCCGGTGTTTGTTTTGTTTTGTTATGTACAAATACGTTTCAATATAATATTAATATAATATTAAGGTAGTTAGTACCTTCAATTATTTTCCAAGTGGTATACAACTGTTGAGCAATGGGTGAATAGCAAAGTGATGTGAGGGGAATGGATCGTGCCACAAACGTTCTCACTAATCTACAGGTTGTTTTATTTATTTGCAGTAATATTATTTTTAAAGTTAGAATCTTAATAATTTAGCTAGCGGGGAAGTGTTGCAGTTCTTTTCCCATATACATTATTTTTAGCAATAAATATTATTAAGTTTTGTTTTGTAGCTTGTCCTGTATTAATTTTATGTTTAAATCTGTGCTCTAATTTTAGATAAAGAAATAGTTCTTTTGATAAAATATAGTGTAATTTATATTGACTGAGTAAAACATTGCAGTGCTTAAAAAGTCTGTTATCATCATTTCTATAAAGTTCTTTTTTTTTAGGAGATAAAATTAGTAAATTACTTTAGTTTGTAATGTATGTATGTTGTTAAGATAAGTTTGATTATTCTATCGTAACTAGTATCTTGTATCATTAAGATCATCAATTTTATAATAGCCCTCACTCATTAGAGTATTCTTGATATAATGTTCAGAGAAAGCTCAATCAAATCTTGGGAACTTTATTAAACAGTGATAAATAGAGACAATACTACAACCCAGAAATGAACCTCTTGATATTTGGACTCTGAAACATTATTGCAGTTAGCATGAGAAAAATTTATTGACTAGAGGCATAACCCAAAACCTTAATTATTATTTTTAATCATATCAAGAATTAGAGATCGGTGTCAAAAATATGCCTAGGAACATAGTTCCTGATTTTATAGTAATGCATTTATCATAATAAAAAGAATAATAAATATTTCTAGCACTCACGTTCATTAGCCTAGCCCTAAAGTAATAAGCACTGAAAGGCTGCCTGTCTACTGTAGCGGGGTTTGTGTGTTATGGGTTACTAGGTAACGACTGATACATACCTATATAAATATCTTTATCTAGAAATATATATTTAAACACCAATTCGCACTAGGACTGCGTGGTGGGTCATGGCCCAAACTCGCTATTCCATCCATAGGGAAAGCCTGTGCCCCAGCAGTGGGGACATTAATAGCCTGATGACAATGATGATATATTTGAATATCCATGACTTAGTTACAAATGCATGTATTTATCATACTAACATTTGCCCCATCAGGTTTTGAACCCGCGTACTCTGAGTAGGCGACTTCTGAAACATACCACTCGAGCCATGACGGCCGTCTAATTATGTTATTCTAATTTAAATGTCCAATTCCCTAATGATTTTAATTTAAGATGTAAATTCGTTTCAATTCCTGTACAAGCCTCGTAAAAAGTTATTTCAAAAGTATAATTTGTGACAGAACTATCAAAAGCTTATTTTGGAAAATAGACTGATAAAATTGTTTTGGCTGCTTACCTTAGGTGTAACCCTGATGAAGTGGATGTTCAGTCCTTGTATGTTGGTCTTGTAATGTGGGTACTGGTTCAGGAAGTTCTCTCTCTCCGTGAAATTGTACTTCTCCAACCAGTACGTAGCCCAGGAGTCCAGGGTGTTGGTGTTGAAGCCATACTCGAAGGCGACGCCTTCAAGGGGAGGAGTGAAAGAACGGCGGCTTTTGAGGCGATCCTTCAGGTCCTTTACTACCTTGAAATAGATTGAGAGGTAAAAATTTAAATGAAGTCAAACCTAACAGTGCGATGCTTTACTGGGAAATCATTGAATATGCCAGGACAATACAAACATATTTACTGATGGTTTGCAAAGTTTCAATATAACATACACCTTTTGAAATTGTTCTAAAATTCGTTTAATTATGGGGCCTTATTGTGGGGCTTTACTCTTTCCGAAGTCAGTTTCACTTCATATACGGAAAAGAGATCATTGACGCTTACGCTCAGTAAATTTGATCTTGTACGGCTTGATGGCTGTGTCTTCCTTGGGCTCTCCGTGCCCCCACCACGCATTCAGATCAACCTCGGGCAGTGGAGGTGGGCTCTTCAAGTATATCAGGTATATCGGCAAGAATGCCACCACCGCGATCAGAAGTAGAATCAGCAGCTTGATCATCTGAAAGAACAGAATATTTCAAAATAGCAGCACAATGCCCACCAGTTTCATAAAAAATATAGATGTTTATAGTGAGTAATGGTTATAGTATAGTGAGAACCCACAAATATCAACGATTAATCAGTAGTTTATTTTTATACCTATATCTACTAAAATGTAAACACCCAGTGATAATAATATACTGATAGTCTAATTGATAATGCCCATTTGCCTGATAAAATTTTGTTTCAAATTATTTCTAAGCTCGATTGCATAAACAGCTATTTTTAGACGAATGCTCGTTTCGAGTAAAATAAACAGTTTTTATAATACAATTCTTGAGTTTAGACAAAAATAGAAACATTTATTTAGGTATGATGAAGTTCATTTAAAAAAATACATTAATTATTTTATAATGAGAACATGATTTCACAAAAAGTTAACAAGGTCACAGTAACACGACAATGTCATTAAAATTATGGTGCACCCGCACTGCTGTTAAAAATTTCGATAAACACTAAGTATTTAATATTATTGTAAAAATATTTAATCACAAATAATCACAATGTTAGAAAATGTTTTCTTGACATTTCAAACAAAATATTGATTTAACAGATTTTGACTAAATAAAACATTTCCGTTATAATTTGTTTGTTAACATCTGTGGTATTATATGTTTCTCTAGCTCTTGGTTTTAAAAAACGCTAATCCAATGAGAAAATCTTTTCCATTTTCGTGTAGAAGCCTCCGAACGTAATCCAACACTGAGAGCTGATGCTATGATATCAAATGTTATAAATGTTTGCAAACATTTTCCATCAGTTAAGGAGCAACATATGTAATGTAACATATGTTTTTTTTATTTTTGTTGGTGTGTCAGAAAATGTTCTACAAAAATTTGTAGCAGCAGTGTGGGAGCACCAAATCAATTCACTTTTGAAAAATATTAAAAATTATAAACCAAATACGTTTAACACATTCACTTAATTCGTTGATGATCAATAATGGACTGAGCGAGTTTGTTGATTTTTACATCTAACTTGAACTGAATGAAACGCCCATAATTAATTTAAATTAAACTAAACTTTAAAATGTTTCATAGAGTAATTTCGATTAATTTAAAATTGTAGATAAGTACGATATGAATGTTTCTCTCATTCTCTCAAAATGAACATCATGCTTGACTAGAAATAAAAGAGACATACTCGTAAATGATGAGCACCTACATACGAGTACACAAGTTTATCGCGAGCTTATGACTGGTCTACGTACTTTCCTCCTGTCGCTTTTAATTCCGAAAAAATAACTTTTCAGTATTTTGAGAAATAACCATGTTTTGGTGAAAAAGTGAAAAGGTCAAAGGTTTGTTGGAATTCAGTTTTTTCGATTTATGGCTTACCTTATACGCTGTGCCATCTAGTAAAGAATGTGGCTTTATTGTATTTGAATAAAGTTATTTATACTAACAACAAACGTTGAAAAAAAAGATAAGAAATGAGATAAATTTATAAGTCTCTACATTTCATAGACTAAGGATGACACAACAATATTCACAGTCCACCCAGTCATTGCCAAGGTCGAGATAATAAAAACAAAATTGGTCGTACCTTGGCCGCGGTGAGTTGCTGACTAAAACACGTATGGCCGGGTCGGCTGCCACCCGAGGACTGATAAAACAAGATCACAGTTTAAGTAGCTCTCATTAAATATATATAAATAGGTTGAGTAAGGAAAAAGAAATGAGTAGAATTTATCTATCTAGGAATGTTTTTTTTATTATTTTATTTTATAGTCATAATTTTGATATCTATTTACATTTGTAATGGAAAGTGGCTGCATGTGTTATCTCATATTGAAGTCATTTTTCAATCTCACGACTCTGTATATAATACAGGGAGAAAAAAACAGCCCTTGCCGAGTTTCTTGCCGGTTCTTCTCAGTACAAGGTCTCCCGCCGTAGATTTGCGAACCGATGGCGTAGCTTTTCGACATTCACAAGTTACAAGCACTTGTGAAAGTTCTTATTTATTTACGTCTTCAGTCCAAAGTACCTTTGAAGTCAAATTAACATTTGCTGTTGGTGCCATGCCAACCCAAGTATCAGCTCAGATCTATTAGACATGCATGGCACCGACTCCATTTTTGTTGTGGTTTTGCTTTTAAATCGTTTTTTTTTATGTTAAAAAAGTTTTTATTTTTCACTTTTTTTTGTAAGCCACCTACATCAACTGAATATAGACGTGTGACCTGTAATCTCCTTCATATTTCAACTTCTATTGAAATTCGAGCTTCTTAGCAATCCATGGATTCGCCGGGCAGTTGCCGGGTCCATCGTGTAGGAGAGAAACTCAGAGCAGTTCCCGGGACTTGCGACCCGGGTGTAGTTTTAAGGAGGCCCCCTTTGAGATGCACATCAACGCTCACCTTCACTGCTCGAACTGCCCGCCCTTCCTAGCCAAATTTGATAGGAGCCTGTTAGTGCAGCCTTAGTTACTCGTTCCAAAATTTAACTTACTGCAGTTCTCGACAGGCCTAGGTCTTTTAGAAGGTTATAGAAAGATTTTGCCGGTATACCTGTCGCTCCTACTTCTACGGCATATAAATAAAAGAGATAGCCATTTTTTAGTTAGTTCGTTGGTTAAATCGTAATATGTATTTAATTTTATTGTCTGGTCTTTTGGAATGTTAGTTAGTTACAGTAAGGTACAAGTCAGAACTGAACCGCAGACTGCAGGCCGTAGCTGCAGACTGCAGGCAACAGTACTAGTTTCTATGGATCTCTATGAAATTGATTTCGAGCGCGACGACCCGCGGCTGCAGCGTGCAGCGACTGCAGACTGCAGTTCCAGTGGTGTCGCCAACCGCAGAGAGGTCACCTCAAAGATTTGAAAAGATATGCCCTTACCATAGTTTGACCGCATCGAAATCTGTCAATACTCGAATGAGCTAACTCCCATATTTTTCCAATTCCCATTTTTTGCAAGAAAAATGTATTATAATACCGTCGTTCGTGTGTGCGTTGTCCGACATTCTATCTCGCACGAAGGTATTGGAGTGACTGAGACATGGTTATATGCATGTCGCCGCGCTCGGAATAGAAGCTGCCACGACCACAGGCTTCACTGCGGTCAGCCGCAGTGTCGCCTGCGGTCGCGATCTGCAGCCAATTGCGGAATTGTACCTGTAAGCTCTATTAAAATAACAGAATACTATGTATGCAAGTACTGTTCGTATTTGTATTGTTTCATTGTTTATCTCCTAAAGTATTTCTGACGACCTCCGTGGCCGAGTGGTTTTTAAGCGGCGTTTCATGGTGTCGCCGACTCGAGAGCTCCCGCGTTCGAATCCCGGTGGGACGTTTGTGTGATGAATACGAGCATTTGTACTTCAGTCATGGATGTTTATGTATTTCTATATATACTTATACATTATGTATTCTATCCGTTGCCCTAGTATCCCATAACACAAGCCTTACAGTGCTTACTTTGGGGCTAGGCTAATTGGTGTAAGTGTTGGAAATATATGGAAATATATTATTTATTAGATCTTCACCAAATTGATACCATCTCGTTAACAAACACTTCCAATCAAAAAAAGAAGCATCAAAATCGGTCAACAAACCTGGCGATATGCGTGAACAACAATAAAAAATATAAATATATAATGAGGAATTGAGAAACTACTCTTTTGTGAAGTCGGTTGAAAACTGAAATACATAACTATGTATTTCAGTGGCCATGGTAAACTTACCATGGCCACCATTTTCACCAAAGAATAAAGTGTTGAGAAGATATTCAAAGTAATCAGTGTAAAGCCAAGCCGTCCTCAGAAGGGATCGGCTTTAGGGTGGGGACTCCACAATATTAGGGGGAAGCCAAGCTGTCTATTATAATTTGAACCAATAGGGGCACGTGCCAGAAGTGTGCGCCTATCATATTTAGCTAACCGTATTTTATATTGTTATCGAATCTTTAATGCGATTCAAAAGTTATTACTTACTAAGTCGACCAAATAAAAAATGATATTTATAAATTGTGCAGTAAGCAAAATATGTAGGGTTCATTTGTATTGTGAGACCATTTTTAAGACTACAAAATGTTAAATAAATAAAACTAGTTTTAACGGGTTAATTCACGAACTTTATTTATTTATTGACGTTTCGCAGCCTTTTCAGGTCTGCATCGTCAGAATAATGATGAAAAAAAATAAACAGAATCATCCTACTCATTGTTTTTTACTTACTCATGCTATTTATCTATCTAGGAATGATTTTTAATACGAACGCTCAATAAGGCGTTGAGCAGACGACGGGGCGGGGCGGGCATTTTGTCCGCGAAGCAATAAAGACCGCGTCTGCCCGTCGATGTCTGCGGCTGCCCGCGCCGCGTACACAAAGCACACGACGGGCAGAGGCGGTCAGTTTAGGACGTTCGTTCTAGTGAATAGTCCATCACTAATAAACGCGTGGCGCGGACTGAGCTGACCGCCCCGCGCCGCCGTCTGCGTTACTGCATATAAACTGGTTTGTATGATCCACGGCGGGCAGCCGCGGACATGCCGCGCCGCCACTGCCCGCCGGGCACCTGCGGCGCTGTCTTTTTGCCCTCTGTGTGCGTTTGAAGTATGGGATTCACTTTGTGCTATTTATTATTCGCGGCGAAATTGACCGGCCCGCCCCGCCCCGTCGTCTGCAAAAAGTGCAAAGTCTTTCGAAGGTAGCTCGACAAAGTACATAAAAAATCATTATTCTTACGATGCAGACCTGAAAAGGCTGCGAAACGACAATAAATAAATAAAGTTCGTGCATTAACCCGTTAAAACTAGTTTTATTTAATGAATGATGTACGTGAAAACCTAAGAAACAAACTACAAAATGTTGTTTTGTTAACAAACACTGTTTGTTAATGAACATAGTTTTAATAAAAGAAGAATATTCTTTGACCATCTCCGTGGCCGAGTGGTTTATACTCCGAGTTTCATGGTGTCGCCGACTCGAGAGGCCCCGGGTTCGAATCCCGGTGAGGGCAGATGTTTGTGTGATGAATACGAGCATTTGTACTCCAGTCATGGATGTAACTGGATGTGGATAATACTTATTTCTATATAAATATACTTATATATGTACAACATATGTATTATATCCGTTACCCTAGTATCCCATAACACAAGCCTTACAGTGCTTACTTTGGGGCTAGGCTAATTGGTGTGAATGTTGGAAATATTTATTTATTTATTTGTTCTTCCGTCTGATTTGCACAGAAAGTTATTAACATTACTTTACAGAAACGGATTCTAATACTTTTTTTTTTCATATAATGTTAAAACAGTAAGGTACACTCGCCTCTATATCGTTCATGAGTAGTGCTCATGTGGGCTTCACTTGTAGCCCATTTTAAATGGAAATGTACTGAAAGATAATGATTGAATTTGGAAATAAAACACATTTATTATTATAAATGACATTGATTAAGTAAACAGAAATAAAAAACAATCTTCTCTTCCTTAAACTTAAAATATTTACAAAAATTCAGACCTCAAAAAATCACACAATGAACTTTTGGTTGAATTTTTCATATTTCTTTTTTTAGTTTTATTTAACTCGTTACATACTAAAACACTACACATTAAACTTTAAATCGTTACTTTTCGAAGGTGTGCTAGCGTCAATCGTCATGTCACACTGAATGCATCGAGCAACAACTAATCGGAGCTTAGCTAGAGACTCCAAGTTTAATAGCGCAATTTCGAGAAGTTATGAACAAAAACAATACCTTGGGCTACATATGTAGCCCACGCGTGTACTCTAGTGTTAAAACGGTGGCAATGTTAAACGCTTGTTAAAGCCTACTAGCAAACCAGTGAACCAAATGTTCACCAAAACCTGATTTAAAAAAAAATGTATTTAATTAATTGAGAACTTCGGAGATTTTGTGTGGTTTCGTTTGAAATTCGTGATTTCTCGAAAACCGGAAGTGCTACGTTACTCAAATCCGGTCTGTAGTCTTATCAGACTATTCTTAACTTATAACTTAAATATTCTCTTTATCTATCTCTTACGGTTTGGCCGCTGAAACAGCACCACAGACAGACGAACGGACTTGTCTAATAGATAAGAGATAGATGCTTGAGATATAATGCCAAAAATATCACTTGCAGCATTGCTTACCCAGGGTATAGGTCAGGACCAAGAGCTCTATTTTTGAATCACTCGTCTGACATAGTATCGTCGAATGCGACATAAGTCACATTCGACTTTCAAGTCGCATAATACTGATTTTCCGTATTTTTGAATCACTCGTCACCAGTGTTACCTGTTTGATACGAAATACGATATTTTACTTATTTCACGCAGAAAAAATAAAAACCGAACAAAAAATTCTCGTTGTTGTTTCATATAAAGCATGACAATGATAGATTATCGTCGTCTAATAGTACAAATAATTTGACTATTCTATCATTCGCCGCCACCATTCGCCATGCAGCGAGTGGTCTCACCCATTCGTTGCACTCGAGCGATTCAAAAATACGGAATTAATTATGTCGAATGAAATTTAGTAGAAATCGAGCGTTCGACGCAAGACGAGTGATTCAAAAATAGAGTTCGGGGTAGGGGACTACCCCTACCCCGCAGAGCCCTGAAACCTAACTCACCGACAGAAACACAACACCACCAAAAGGTGGTGTCATTTTACTGTAATCTTCGGTAAGGTGGAGGTTGCTTCCCCAGACGGGCGCTCCAATTCAAGCGGGAAATCTGCTATGTCTTAACTTACATATATTACTGTAGTATCATATGATGGCTTGGCATTATGATTAAGCATTAACTTTAATTGATGTTTATCAGTGCGGCGATAAGTAATTAACAAGACTTCGTTACAAAGAAAACAAAACTACAAAAACAGGTAATACAGTTCTGTACGATCTCAAAGCCTTTGACAGACTTCAGAACGATTCTGAAAAAAAAAACAGAAGTTTTCAACTCCAAGCTACGCGGAGTTCTTCACGGCGATTAAAAGATAATAATTTCGATAGAGATTCGTCTCCCTTAATTAATACATGAATCTTTTCGACGCTCGCTTCTTTATCTACTGCAAAAGTTTTGACAAGCAAAAAATCTTTTAAGTAAGCGTTAATTTTTCAAGTGTCGAATGAAAATTTTCTGCTAAATAAATTAATACTCAATTGGATGATGACTATCTTTTTTTTCCTGCATCTATCAGGTAGATTATCTAATAGGATCAGGTAGATAGGGACACGATTTTTCAAGTGATAACTTCTTATGTTTACCCAACAGCTTCGTTACGTAACGCGTTACGGCGCCAATCTGGCTTCCCTTTCTCTCACGCATAAGGCAGCGGTAGGCAGGCTCCTCCTCTTAGCGCCGCGCTCAGATTATTTTAAATTATCATTTTTATCGTGCGTCCCGAGACGCACACCCATTTTTGATATGTAACATCTTTCCTCTCGCTTTCCTGCAATTTGAGGGAGTGATTTCGTGAAATGGGACGGAAGTGTGTAACAGAAAGTCGCGAAAGCGCGCGCTATTTGATTTGATTTAAGAACATAATGTTCAAATGGCTTATTCCTTTTGTAGTAGGTTTTATTTCTTTTTTTACTAATATAAGGTGAGGTTTCAAATGTTACACATCCTACGCGATTAATGTAAGGTTCGCTCGTTTTTTTTCTTTCTTCCGTTTCTACACATAATCAAACTATAACAGAGATATATTGATTTGAAATGTTGCACTTTGTGGGCAACTTAATTTGACCAGATCATAAAGTCGTCAAAATTTACGATTTAGTAATCGTAATAAATAAGATGTTAATTTTTTTTCTTTATTTATTTAGAGGCTTTAATTCTACGAATATGCCAGCCTCATCGTACCCTAACAAAAACATACACAACTAATTTAATTTAAAAATTTGGAGAGGGCGAGCTATTCTTACTAGAGAAAACCATATCAAACATCGACTTCGCTGCATCTGAGTTTGATAGTGCTAATATTTCCACAAACGAACCTATATTTTCAAAGTTAAGTTGATATTGTTGAATGAATAGCTCTTTCTCTCTTCTGTTCTTCACAAATTCCATCAAAGTGTGTCGGACATCGTCCACTTGGTTACATACTTCACAATTGGGAGAATTAGCTTTCTTCATCAAATGTGCAAACTTCCTAGATGGATAATGACCTGATCGTAATCTGTGAGCAAGGACGATATATGACCTATTTAATTTGGAAGATTTTTTTTGACTTTTATTGTCACTTAGAATTATATACGTTATTAAACGTCAATTAAGAGAAAACTGCATTATATTAGTTTTCCTTATAAATACTTAACAGAAACTGATTCCAATACTTTTCTTTTCATGTTATGTTAAAACGCTTGCGATACCAAAAATATCACTCGTACCGTTGCCTCATCATCATCAACATCAGCCTATTAATGTCCCCACTGCTGGGGCACAGGCCTTCCCTATGGATGGAATAGGGAGATTGGGCCATGACCCACCACGCGGGCCCAGTGCGGATTGGTGGGTGCTAACGGCTGCAAATACAGCTGAGACCAACGGCCTAACGTGCCTTCCAAAGCACGGAGGAGCTAGATATATGACCTATTTAATTTGGAAGATGTTCATAATATATTTAATAAAAATCCAAAGTAAGTTAAGTATATATATTATGCTTTTTCTTCCATGACTTGCATAGTACTCGTGAACCTTTCCATCGTAAGCTTCTTCGTTATTTTATAAAGAATTATTGTCTTTTTCACTGCGAGGAATATAGCGCATGCAGCGCCTCTACCGGTAATTAATGTAACGGTTTACGATATATATGTTACCGGCCAAACCCGAATTCAGGACAATCTAGTTTTGCCTAGGCTAAACTGGTTCTTCCTATACGCGATAGGATTAACTAGTATAGCCTAGTCCAAACTAATTTATCCTAAGCGCGACAGGATAAACCAGTTTAGCCTAGGCCAAACTAGATGATCCTGATATAAATACGCACACTCTAGGATAAACTAGTACGACCTAGTCTAAACCAATTTAGCAAAGCGGAAAGTAATTGAACAAACATGTCAGGACTTGTACAGGGCGCGTCATGTAAAAAGAACGCTGGAAGAAAGTGGAGGGAGTGTTTTTTCTGTAATTGGTTTTTGTTTAACTCTTTTGTTGTTGCCGGGAGTTCGGAAGACAGTAAAGCCGGGTACGCATTAGCGATCTGTTACCGTAACATGCGTGATACAGTACGAAGTTCTAGTGTGTACGCTAGTAGCTCAGTTGTGAACGTTGGCTCGCTTCAAACCGCACGCGTACCGTTCGCAGCAGGTTATCGAACCACGTACACACTATGCTTTTTGGTTACAGTGCGTGCAACGGTTATGGTTACAGCTCGCCAATGAGTAACTACCCGGCTTAAGAAATTCCGAATCATTCGAACCTTTTACAATTCATCTCACTGTAAACTCAAAATATTTTAAGAAAAGTTTACTAGAAAAAAAAACCACGCAGACCAGGCAGCGGACCGGACTCGAACCCGCACCCTTCGCAATCCGGGCGAATGCACTGACCATTATGCTACCACGGCCCTATTCGCCGCGTCGAAATTTTCCTAGCCTTAAGCTGCAAGGCAGCGCCATCTCTTCGCATTGTAGGTTGCAACCACGCAACCCACAATGTCAAATGAATACTTTTTCAAGTATTAAACATTTGAAAGAAGAAATAGCAATTATAGTTAGTGTTTTTATTTATTTTTAAGCATTTAACTGCTAGGTGTTTAAATCTAAAGAAAAGTTTACTAGAAAAATTAAACTTTTCTTACTTTTCTTTGTATTACTAATTATCCATAACTTGTAACGATGAATCATTATGGTTTTAATAAAAAATATTATTTTTCCAATTACGGATTATTTTATTCAGTTTATCTATTTATTTTGACTTTCTAGATATACTATAATGTTTACACTAGGCCATACTAGTTTATCCTAGAGTATGCGTATTTTTATCAGGATCAACTAGTTTGGCCTAGGCTAAACTGGTTTATCCTATCGGGCTTAGGACAAATTAGTTTGGACTAGGCTATACTAGTTAATCCTATCGCGCATAGGAAGAACCAGTTTAGCCTAGGCAAAACTAGTTTGTCCTGAAATCGGGTTTGGCCGGTAACATATATATGATAAAATAATCTTGACTATTTCATGAATTAGCCGCGATTTTAGTTGCGAGTATCAAGAAAGTATTTCTTATCATTATATTATATTATATTTATATGAGGAGCTCGATGGCACAAGTATTTAGCGCGTTCGGCTGCGATCGTGGAAGTTAAGCAACTTTCGCAGTGGTCGGTCATTGGATGGGTGGCCAAAAAATGTATTATCTCGAGCTCCTCTGTGCTTTGGAAGGCACGTTAAGTCTTTGGTCCCGGCTGCATCTCTGCAGTCGTTAGTCCATGGCCTAATCTCCCTATTCCATCCATAGGGAAGGCCTGTGCCCCAACAGTGGAGACATTAATAGGCTGATGATGATGATGATTTCTTTTCATTGATCTGCCCAAACCATATCACCATGTGACCAATAGACAGTAAAGCAATTCATGAAATGCGACGACTTCATATCATTTTCGAGCTTTTCATGAAGTTAGCTAATCTACGATATAGCTACGGTATACGAGTATTATATATTTAATCAGACCCATTAAAAATGTGACGATGTTTTATCAGTCCTCGGGTGGCATTAGACCTGGCCACACGTGTCATCGTGAGCGACGCACTGTCAAGGTACGAGCAATTTAGTATTTATTATCTTCAACTTTACAATGACTTGCGGTCTAGTCAATATTGCTGTATCATCATTAGTATTTGTAATATAGAGACTTCAAAATTTATTATTACTTATCTTTGTGTTAATTTGTTTTTAGTATAAGTAACTTGATTTGATTAGAACCAAGCCAAAGAACATTCATCATCATCATCATCAGCCTTTTTATGTCCCCACTGCTGGGGCACAGGCCTTCCCTATGGATGGAATAGGGAGATTGTTTCCTCCGTGGCCATGACCCACCACGCAAGCCCAGTGCGGATTGGTGGTTGCTAACGACTGCAGATGCTGCCGGGACCAACGGCTTAACGTACCTTCCGAAGCACGGAGGAGCTCGAGATAGTAAATTGTTGGTCCTCCATCCAATGACCGACCACTGCGAAAGTTGCTTAACTTCAACGATCGCAGCCGAACGCGCTAACCACTTGCGCCATCTTGCTCCTCGAAAGAACATTACTCCAACACAACTCATCAGCTAAACATACGTATTCAGACCCGTCTTTCCCAGTGGGCACTTTGGGCAAATGCCCAGGGCCCCGTGATCGATAGGTGGGCACCTCAGATCACAAATACAAAGTCCCTAGTTCTTGTTAGATCACCAAACGGGGGTCATAGGGGCCTCATTATCCTAATATGCCCAGGGCCTCCAATAGGTCAAAGACGGCACTGTACGTATTTCAAAAAATGCTGAGATTATTCATTCACTTCAAGTTATTTCTTCCAAAGTAAAAGTGACAGAGTTAAAGTTCCTGAAGGTACCGCATATAGATAGATAGATAGATAATGCGTTTATTTTTTTCTTCAACATACATATACATTTACAGACAGAGGAATACAATAAAAAAAGATACAAGAAATCAGCTATGAAATATCCATACGTATGCTGCAGAAAGCAGAAGGCCAAAGCTCGGCTAAACATTTGCCAGTTTTAAGGCAAAATACCGATTTTCAGCCATCACCTTTGTTGATGATTTCGATTTAGTGTTGTCATATTAAGTTCCTTGTCATATTAAGGACTTGTGTATGTTGAAAGTTACAAGTGAGCGCATCATGTGTGGTCTTTTGTTCCTACTAAAGTATGTATTCATTTTGTGTGAATAAGTGAAGTTAAGTGAAGTCAAGTGTGTTAAGTTCAATGTGCCCTTTTATACTATTTTTGTTGCACCGAGAAATTTCCTCTGCTGAAGTATAGTTAAATTTAACTTTATTATTGGCGTCGCAAACAGTTTAACTTAAAAGTGGGGGTTTAAAATAAAATAAAAATTTCTCAAATTATCGCGAACTGATAAATTGAGTCGAGTGAAGTAAATTTGATGAACGAATTTAGATTTTATAAGTACTACTTATAATATTATATAATTTAATATTTTTAGAAGCGATTTGATTTATGTTTAATTTGATTTTAAGTTATGAGAAAATTTTAAACAAAATTATACCGAGATTTTCACAGTCAGTAGGTATATTATTATTTATCACTGCACCAACCGGCTGTTTCCATTTCAGTAGACATTTCGGTTATCTTATGATAAAACTACAGATTAATTTATATTTGTTGGCAAGTTGTGATTAAATCTAATTTTATGAAATACAAAATTGCCCTCGTTTATATCGAAACTGTTTTGAGATACTCACTTGTAATTATTGTTAGCTATAAAAATAAACCCGGCCACTTATTACATTGGAATTCTGATTTGAATTTCTCAAAAAGTTTAATATTTACAACTGTCACATTTATTCCTACAGAAAGTCCATTTAATGATGATTAAAATAATAAGAAAACTATTGAGATTTAATCATATTGTAAAGTTTTTATAAAGAATTTTTGTCAGAAGAGTCGTTTTTCAGTTGTGTTCTTATGGTAGTGAAAATCGTTGCAAAAATACACACGTCTGAGAAAACGATGGACAAAAACTAAAGAAATGAAATGAAAACTTTATAAAACAAAAGTTTTTTTGTCATTTTTAACCATAGAGCAACATGGCCGACGCGGCCAGGAGGAGAGTAGGCATTGACAGCAGGAGACCGGATTATTTGTTGTCGAGTGTAACAACGGATGAATAAATTCTCTTATATAAAATATATAAATCAATAAATCTTATGAATAACATTATCTAAGGAGTAATGCCAAAAAACGTTGGTTGGAGGCACAGGTTTGCAGTTAGACAAAATAGCTACTAACACCATTATGTTCACAAATATGGTAGTAATAATATACATATAGGTAATTTGGACCCTTAAAGGCATAGCAATTTCAAGAAAAAAAATTAAACGCTTTTCAATAAAAGAAAAAGCCACATAAAAAGGCTATGCAATCCTAATTAAACTGTAGACTCTGTCGGACTGCGTCCTCAAAGACCTATTGTGACTAGCCACCATGTTATCAAAAAGTTAGAGCACAGCGGATTTCCCGCTCGAATCGGAGCGCCCGTTTGGAGAAACAACCTCCATCTTACAGAAGACTACAGTAAAGTAGCACTACCTTCTGGTGGTGTTGTATTTCCAGCGGTGAGTAAGGTTCCAGGTCTCCGCAGGGGAAAGGTATAGGGTCAGAGACGTCAGAGTAGATAATGGCACGAGTGATATTTTTGGCATCGCAAGCGTCTATACGTGTCGCCGCACACGGGCCACCCACCACAACCACAAAGCGCCGCCACCGGCATATTTCTTGTAGTTTTCATACATTTTATATAGACTCGCCATACACGGTACGCCAGTGGCCGCCACACGCTACAAATCGTCGTTGCTCGCTTATTGTGGCCCGCACCGGCCACTTAAACGCCGCCACACGTCACTCGCGTGATTCCCCACCCCTCTCTCCCTTACCTTAGTCGGCCGCTGTCGCGCACTTCAGCCACTTTAGTAGCCGCTTCTGGCTTCTCGTGGCGGCGTTTGTGACTGTGGCGTGTGACAGGCGGGCTACACGTTTCTTTGCACCCATTTTAACACAAAAAAAAATACATGGAAGGTATCTATAACTTCTTATTTCATTAAAAACTACGCTGTTTCATCAGATGATCAAGCTGCTGATTCTACTTTTGATTGGGGTAGTGGCATTTCTACCGATATACCTGCTGTACTTGAAGAGCCCCCCTCCACTACCCGAGGTTGATCTCAACGAGTGGTGGGGGCACGGAGAACCCAAGGAAGACACAGCCATCAAGCCTTACAAGATCAAATTTACTGAATCAGTAAGTCTCATCACCTTCGAAACTAAAAGAAGCGACAATGTGACATCTTCTCTATTTCCCGTGTATGAAATATAATTGACCACGGAAGAATTAAAGCTTAGACAATCATTATCATCGTTAGCCTATTAATGTCCCCAGTACTACGTTACAGGCCTTCCCTATGGATGGAATAGAGAGTTTGGGCCGTGACCCACCACGCAGGCCCAGTGCGGATTGATGGGTGCTAACGACTGCATATGCAGTCGGGACCAACGGCTGAACGTGTCTTCCGAAGCACGGAGGAACTCGAGACAGTAAATTTTGGTAACCCATCCAATGACCGAACACTGCAAAAGTTGCTTAACTTCAACGATCGCAGGCGAACGCGCTAACCACTTGCGTCATCAAGGTCCTCGTAATATGGCCCCATAATCAAATCAAATCAAAAATTATTTATTCGGCATCAATATATTATTTAATCAAATAAATCAAAACGATTTTCTTAATGTGGTAATCTCTGGTAGTCTAGGTCGCAGTGTGACTAACCCTCATTATTAACTGTATCGCAAAATGTCTAGATATCATTTCGTGTAGATCTTTAATTGATTACATTGCATAATGACCAAATCTTTATTTGACCACATCGCATAAAGACTAGATTTCTATTTGATCACATCTCTGGTCTTTACTGAATCAGTGAGTCTCATCATCTTCGCAACTAAGAGAAGCGTCAACGTGACGTCTTCTCTATTTCAAATATTGAAGGTCGCAAATATTGAAAATTGGCAAACCATCAGTTTCTTTTAAATTCGTTCTTCTCAAATTATTTTAAGGTAATAAAGGACCTTAAGGATCGCCTTAAAAGCCGCCGTCCTTTCACACCTCCGCTTGAAGGCGTCGCCTTCGAGTATGGCTTCAACACCAACACCTTGGACTCCTGGGCTACGTACTGGTTGGAGAAGTACAACTTCACGGAGAGAGAGAACTTCCTGAACCAGTACCCACATTACAAAACCAACATACAAGGACTGAACATCCACTTCATCAGAGTTACGCCTAAGGTAAGCAGTCAAAACCATTTTTTTAGTATTTTTTCCAAAATTAGGTTTTCATGATTCTCTCAGAAATATAGGTGATGACAGTAAACGAAATTCTATTTAATCCGTTAGTTAGGTGATCAAAAAATAATGGACACGTGTATTTTGATTTGGGCAATCAACCAAAAAATGACAAAGTTATAGCGCGTCAGTTTGGGAGGCGTCAGGGGCTCGAGACGTCACTTTTAAGTGAAAATTGTACCAAACACGACGTGGCATGACGTGACGTCATGCGACTTTCAAATCAATATATCTCTGCAATGTTTATATTATGTGAAAAAAGAAAAAATACTTGTCCAATCCTTTTTGATAATCTACCTGATAAACGAAGAAAAAACAATAGTCATCATCCCTATTAAACTTTTAAAATAGTCATTAGAATAACTTTGTACAGTAAAATGTTAGCATGATGAATACGTATAATTAATGATTAAATATATTTCTAGACAAATATACACATATATGTAACAGTATATGAATTCTATTCGTTACCCTTGTATGCCGTTTATCGTATCGTATGAAAGACGTAATCATTACCGATCAGAAACGAAAATCTATTTAGGGGCCCGGTATGAGAAAAATGTGAGGAGTAAAATCTATCGATTAGTGATGTAACGAATATTCGCATTCGCATTCGCGAATATTAGCATATTTTTGAATATTCGCATTCACATTCGCAGTCGCAAAATCTCTGCGAATGTTTTGCGAATATGAATATTAGAAAAAACAATTTGAAGAAGTTGTAGTTCTGCCTTTCCTTGAATATTCATTGTTACACAGTTTGCATTTAGCTCGTTCAGCATCGCAAAGTGTGAAATAAGTCCATGTTTCACTAGAATTCGATTTACTCATGTTAATAAATCACTATTACCACTCACAATCACTAACCTCAAAATTCACTTGTTTTGTTTACGGTACGAGCGGAATGACACTTCAGTCGGATGAGTTCATATCAACTCGGCAATTCGAACGAGACTGCCACCATGCCATAGACAATTGGCGCCAATTTAAAAAAAAACTAAATATTCGCATTCGCATATGCGAATGTCGGTACCAGACATTCGCATCCCCATTCGCATTCGCAAATGTTCAAAAAATGGCATTCGTTACATCACTACTATCGATGAATGACATTAATGACCTCGTTACGTTTTTGTGCGCAACCTCATCTGCGCACCTTTCACTTTTAGCCATGGCAACGGATAAAAAACATTAAGTTGTCACAAATATCAATAAAATAAATAAACTAAAAATAGATAAAATCGGAGCAAAATTAATGAAAACAAATAAATAACAGAATATAGAGAAATGCCGGTAAGTGTCCAGCACTCTGGAATAGTGATTTTCAGTACAGATGGAATTATAATACATTTTTACAAAATGATGACTAGTGTGTGATATTTTTGAAATTGTGTGTTTCCAGAAATACATAATAAAATATATGATGAATATCGCTGATGTTAGATGATAAAATGTGTGACATGGAACCTATGATAGTCGAAACCATGGGACGATTCCTGAGGTATCTCTACTTGTAACCGACTTCTTCGGACTTGATTTTGTTTTGTGTCTGTTCAAAGACAATCGTTTTTAGAGTGTAAACTCCGGTCGTGCGTCGGAGCTGACACACACATTTTTTATTTTTACTTTTTTATTTCACCCATTTTAGTGAAAATTACATCGTCCAACACAATTCACGGAGAAATCGGTGAACATGCATATATAAACATCGTGCGTGCCTTTGAAATTTGAAGGTTTCCTTCGATTTCCCCGGATTCCGCCATCAGATCGTGACTTAGTTCCAATGAATGGGACCAAATCGGAAGTGCACTCTTTCGAATAAAAAAAGAATTTTTGAAATCGGTCCACAATTGACGGAGAAATCGGTGAACATAAATAAAAAAAATATACAGTCGAACACAGAACCACCTCCTTTTTTGAAGTCGGTTAAAAATCACGAACACGGATGCATTTTTTTGTCATCGATCTTCATAAAATAATAATTAAACTTTTCAATTCTTCCTCTGGTCAGGAAAATTACTTCATCTTAACTACAATAATATTATATAAGAAAAAGAATTAATTAAACAATACATCCTATTAATTAGTTTTAATCCCGCAGAATTTATATTTTAAGCAAAACCCGTAGGCTCTAAGAAAGTTACTTGAACATTGTAAATTATCAACAGGACATTAATCAGACAGCTACAATTCTATCTGACTGTCGCTAACTGATTCATGTTTATTACATAAATATGTACCTAGTCAGGTCATAAATTCTGTCACATGTTTAATATAAAATAATTGAAATAAGTTTATTTATTATATGTAACCATTTATATACCAAAATGAACTTAACAAAACATAGATTCTTATGACAATAAAGTTTATTCAAAATGACCTCCGTGATTTTGAATACAGGCCTTCAATCTGCGCGGCCAGTCGTCTATCGCAGCACGAACGAGGTTCATGTCAATATCGGCGGCTGCCTTAATCAAGGATGTCTTGAGTGACTCCAAATTGGGATGAGGCTTTGAGCACTACTTTTCCTCCAAATGTTGCCATATCTTGTAATCTAACGGACTCAAATCTGGACTGGAGGACTGTCCCAGTCTTCGTGCCGGATGAAGTCGATTTCACACGCTGCCAGCCAGTCTTGTGTGCTCTTCGCTCTATGAGCTGGCGCCGAATCTTGTTGGAATACCCAGTGCCAGTTATTAAACATGGTATGAGAAACAGGTTCCACAAGGTTCGTCAGGACTGTATTTTGATACACAACTGCATTCGTTTTTACACCTTTCTCAAAAATTTACATCTTTTTCCAAAAATGTACCTGTGTTAAGTCCCAATATTTAAGTCCCAACCATACCTTGAGCGAGGAAGGAAAATGACCTCGTTGGACACGCGGAATATGGTTGCTCGCTTCTTCACTACTGTGTGCGTACACTTTATCATTTTGTTTGTTGTAGCTCTCTTCTACGGTAAAAATTTTTTCATCCGAAAAAAGCATTTCCCGATATTTTTTTCCCGCGTACCGATTTTCAACAAAGCGCGGCATCTCTTCAGTCTCAGGTCCATTAGACAAGCATTTAAACGATGTCCTGTTTTTCTTCGATATGCCCGAAGCCCTAAGTCTTCATTTAACACCCTTTTCATCGTGGTTCTGCTTAACCCCATCTGAAGGGCCAACAGTTTCTGCTTATGTTTGGGATTTCTTTGAATTCGCGCCTTCACGGCTTTTATCACTGCTGGAGACCTAACAGACCGAGGGCGACCACTTCTTGATTTGTCATCTACACTAGAGTCTTCATTGTATCGTTTGATGGTACGATAAACGCATCTTTTGGTTATATTAAAATTTTTCAGTATGTCAAAAATTTTAATTGGCGCGTAACCGCAACGATGCATTGCAAAAACTGCAACACGGTCTTCTTTTAAGCGTCCACTCCATATTTAAAAATGAGTAAAATTCTAATAAGTATATATATCTATTTGCATGAACAATTCGAAATTCGAATTCAAATTTTTTTTGTGGCCAGCATTCTAAAAGAAAAGTTTTTACTGTGTGACAATACTTATGACCTTACTGTGTATTTATCGCTAACAAAGCAACAAATTACCTTTATTGGGTACTCATGATAGTCCAGTACAGTTATAATAATATTATCTAGACATGGGTCATTGGCTTTTCCTAAACAATAATGTGTCATAACAATGAAATCTATTCGTGTTATGCAGTATTGTTTATTGTGTTGTATGCATTAATAAGCGACAATTCCTTGCTCTTTCTAAATACCTTTTCTTCCCTTTTATTTATTTACGGGTAAAGAATAGCTATAGCTTTTTAATTCACCATTTACTTGGACCAGAAAACGTTAAATTAAAAAAATATGTGGGCACAGATCACACATCTGATATGAAACTTTTTTCCTTAAATAACCTAACATTAGTCGGTGTATAAGGCAAACGTTGTTTGGTGTATAAGGCATACGATGTTATTGAAGTAAAAAGAAGTTTCACTTCAATAACATCTCCACTTGATCTTAAATGATTTGTGAGTTGAGTCAAGTTATAGCGATAGCTGGGTGTCGCAAGCATATGAACATGAAACAAATATTTTTACAGAACTCTTTCTCCTTTCTCGTTGGAACACAACAATACACTCTTATTATTCAATTGTTTGTTATCTATATAAAGTAGCATAACACTGTTTACCTTAAAATCCTCCAAAACGACAAGAAAATCTGCTGCTTCTTTCTCAACATCTTCTTCAGATCAAATTAAATCGAAATCACAGAAATTAACATTTCGTAGCCTTTTAAAAGTAGGATGTTCGACATTTTCTGCGCGATTTAAATTATGATTATTTTTCGTACAGGTTCCAGCAGGCAAGCAACTGGTGCCCATGCTTCTCCTCCACGGCTGGCCTGGCTCCGTGAGAGAGTTCTATGAAGCCATCCCTCACCTGACTGCCGTCAGTGAAGACAGGGACTTCGTGCTAGAACTGATCATACCGAGTCTACCAGGCTATGGACATTCTGAGGTAAACATGTATAGGTTTAGCATTTGCCAAGTAGAAAAGTTAAAAAAAAAATGTCATAGACAATAAATATTACAATATAAATATCTTCCAAGGTTCAAGAAAACTTTATTATATTCTTTTATGACGCGAAAAGCTATGTTAAAATAATTAAGAAACTATTTTTTTTTCTTTTTTTAATTCGGATTAATGCGAGTCACACTCGCCCACCGAGGGTTCCGTACAAGTTTATAGAAACACATCAAAAACGGCCGTATCTCTATTTTATTATATGTTATCATAGAAGTTTGATATTTCATAACTTAAAGGGACCGTAGACCTAATTATATACCTAGTTTAAATTTCAACTCTATACCTTCACCCGTTCCTGCAATAAAGGGTCTTGACAGACAGACGCACAGACTGATGGATCAAATCCTTTTGAAGTTAGGAACCCAAAAAGCAGGATTTGAATATTTAAGTAAATGTAATAAAACATTTTTGGTTTGTTCATCCAATATTTTTTTATTTGTTCACAGGCTCCAGTGAGACCAGGATTAAACCCACTCACAATGGCAGTGATCTTCAGGAATCTGATGCAGCGGCTCGGTTTCCAGAAGTACTATATCCAAGGTGGCGATTGGGGTGCCATTATTACATCTAATATAGCAACACTATTCCCAAAGGTAGGTAATGGTACATTTGAAAGTCATAACATATAGTACAGATTGATGGCAATGCATAGCACACAAATTGTTAGTCACAAAGCTTGGAGGTGCTGGTTTGAACCTCATTTTGTATTTTTTTAATTGTTTCTTAGGTTTAATTTTTGTAATTGTTTCTTAGGTTTAATTTGTGTAATTGTTTCTTAGGTTTAATTTTTGCAATTGTTTCTTAGGTTTAATTTTTGTAATTGTTTCTTAGGTTTAATTTTTGCAATTGTTTCTTAGGTTTAATTTTTGTAATTGTTTCATAGATTAAATTTTTTGTAATTGTTTCTTAGGTTTTCACGCACATCACTAATTAAATAAAACTAGTTTTAACGGGTTAACGCACGAAACTTTATTTATTCATTGACGTTTCGCAGCCTTTTCAGGTCTGCATCGTCAGAAACGTCAATAAATAAATAATGTTTCGTGCATTAACCCGTTAAAACTAGTTATACTCATTTTGTAATGTTTAACTTATTTAGATGTAGTTTCGAACACTCAAATCGTTTGGCGATTAGGATAAAGAGGCAATTTTGGTTTCCAACCACTAATTAGCAACCAATATTACTACTTTCATAGTCTGTACTTAAGTATCCTTTGACAATACCGCGAATAGGGTATTTGACAGTATTAAAAATAAAGTGCCAATTGTTAGCATCTGTGTTTAGAATGAATATTGGCAGGGGTTTTTACTATTTTTACAAACAAAATAGTCATAATTTTACTAAAAACCCACGAAAAAGATAATAGTTTTCTTATCTATTGTCAGCTTGGGATTGGCGGAGCCTAAAATGATGTCACACGCAAGTAAACTTCCGGTTAAAGTGACATTACATTGTATCGTTTGACGTTTTAATAACAGTCGTGTCACGTCACACACTAGTAAGACGCCATATTGTCCAGAAAAACGTTTTCGCGGCAACTTGAAAATGGAGTTTTTGATTTGGTTATTTTTACTGAAATACACAACAGGATGATAAATATCCACTTTTTACGGACTCCGTAAACATTAGTCAATAACGTGAGATCGTTTTCTAAAACTTGTCAAATACCCTATTTATTCATAGTACATCTGTATTATTGGTACTTTGCTAATCCTGCAAAAATGATAAATGCACTTAATGTCGTATAATCTAATAAAAGTCACTTATTTTACTGATTTTTATTATAGCTATTAACGGGATTGTTACGATGTACCTTGTTTTTTATGAGTCTCTCCGATATTTCGGTACTATTGCAAGCGCCATGATCACGGAGTAACTGAAGTAATTGCGGGTAGATGGCAGACATATCGGTCTACCCTCTGGCGTCGGTCTTTACTACGCTTATCGAGCGTTATCGATTTAAAATTTTAAATAAAAAATCATTATTCTGACGATGCAGACCTGAAAAGGCTGCGAAACGTCAATAAATAAATAAAGTTTCGTGCATTAACCCGTACAAACTAGTTTTATTTATAGACAATATATTACTGATTTTCTTTCTGATTGCAGGAGGTCCTTGGTTACCACTCAAATTTCGTATCCTCAATGACACCGACCGTTACCATCTTCCGATTGTTGGGTTCGATTTATCCTCCTCTAGTGGTAGATCGAGAGCTAGCTGATCGTTGGTACCCGCAGTCAGAGGTCTATGGCCAACTGATAGAAGAGACCGGCTATCTGCATATACAAGCTACAAAGCCCGATACTGTTGGTAAGATGTTTCCATTGAATTTGAAAATGTATAGCTTATGAAAACAATGTTTCTGTTGTAACGAGATCATGATGTGGATCATCATCATTCGTCTGTCCTGTCCTCAGTACAATAAGATGTTTGTCTTCCAATTCTGTTAAAGAAAATATAGCGGCAAATATGACGAGCTTTGATGTTTCTAGGATAATACTTTAATATTGATTGCATCGTTACACGTGACTATTATATTGCACGTAATGCCTGAACCGAGATTGATAATTGTTTTCGTCGGTTTATTGTCAAGATTATTACTTCTTTTGTTATATGACGTTGTCAAAATTAGTTGGGCAGAACGATTTAAAAGTTTGTAACTATTAATTGACTAATTAACATGTTTTGAATTTTAACCAGGTATATCTTTGCTGGACTCCCCATCGGGACTCATGGCTTACATTGTGGAGAAATTCTCAACTTGGACTAGGAAGGAACACCGGTCGAAGGTCAACGGCGGACTCGAGTTCCGATTCACCAAAGATCAGTTGATTGACAACCTGATGATGTACTGGACCACCAGATCCATAATCACTTCCATGAGGCTATACGCAGAGTGCTTTAGCAAGAAATACATGGCCTTGAAGATTGATGAGTAAGCTATACTTAAAATTTTATAATGCTAGGGAAGAAATGGACTAGGAAAGAGTTTCGTTATGTCTCCATTTGAATTTTTAGAATGAAATTCCTTTTCGGAGCACGGCACGAGCGGACAGATACGGACTAGGCGAGAAAGAAAGTGTATGATTTTTCTGTTACAACCGTCAGTTGATTTTTAGCGAATTCTAAGTAGTTGTATACTAGTACTAATTCGGACATGTATAAACACTCGGCCATACAATAATTATATTTATAAAGTACACACATCAAAAAAGTCTAAGTGTCTAACACATCATTTACAGAAACTGTAGGTGTTATTAATTGATGTTATTTTTTTTCTTAGCAAAGTAGATTGGTAAGTATATAATCCTTCTTGTTCGAATAGAAACTTTTCGATTGTGTTGTGATTGTGTGTAAATATGTTACAATAGGCATGATGACGAGGTACAGTAAACGAAATTCTATTTAGTCCCTCAGTTAGATGATCGAAAAATAATGGACATGTATTTTTTCTTTGGGCAATCAACCAAAAAATGACAAAGTTATAGCGCGTCAAAGTTTGGGAGTAGGGGCTCGTGACGTCACTTTTGAGTGAATTTTCCCTTATAAGTGTACTCAAACGTGACGTCATGCGACTTTTCAAATCAATATATCTCTGCAATCTTTATATTATGTAAAAAAAGAAAAAATACGTGTCCAATACTTTTTGATAATCTACCTGATAAACGAAGATAAAAAATTTGTCATCATCCCTATTGTAGAAACCCTTCAAAAGTTCAAAACCGTTAGATGTTGCTTAAACTTTTTTGATGAGTATATTATTCTTTAAATAATAATTTAAAGAACATTATGCCCTATGTGTTATGCTTAATTAATTTGGGACATCTTGAAGAAGCAAAAAGTTCTAGGCTTTGCAAATGGCACTTTGCAAATGCAGGTTTATGTAGCATTAGATTAGGCACTGTAGGCAGGCACAACATTATAGAAATATAGTACTCATGGTCATTCTTAAACATTCTTAAAGCTGTGAGATTTGTTTTTTTGGCACTATAGGCAGGCACAACATTATAAAAATATAGTACTCATGGTGATTCTTAAGTATTCTGAAAGCTGTGAGATTTGTTTTTTTCGCCGTCAATAAAGAGGTAGCAAATTTCTCAATTCGAATTCCATAGAATTATAAAAGGCTCAGCTTTCCATTATATGTAATTGCGTTGCAAGCTGAAATTCAATTGTCACGCACTAACTATTAAAAACACGAAATCCGCCGCGGCAGCGGCCGGCGAAGCGCCAGAAAGAAAAATTCGTTAATACAGACTTTTTCAACAAAAAAATCAAATATCACCTCTAGGCCCTGGAAGTACAGTTTTACCTTTAAAACCCCTCTAATTTTTCATAATTATCATTTCTGTAAAAAAAACCCTTCCGGCGTTTTTTTAAGGGGGGGGGGGGTTACCCTTCCCTCTGAGGGGGTCTTCCCTAATACCTATCCCCCTGAAATTCCACTACATTTAACAGATTTAATGAATTTTTAGGTTAGGTAAAAAAAACTGCATTTCCGCCAAAAATCTTTTATGGCGGGGGGTTCGGGGTTAGCCCCCCCTCCCCCTCCCCTACAAATTACCCCGAAATTCAATTACATATAATGGAATTAAGTACCTTATAAAAATCTATTATTTCAGCTTTTTACAAGTCAAATTTCTTTTCCAGAATTCCATCGAAAGTCCCAGCGTGGACCATACAGGCAAAGAACGAACTGTCATACTTACCTCCATGGCTGATCAAGTTAAAATACCCAAATCTACTGAAAGCTAATCCTATAGATGACGGCGGTCATTTTCTGGCTCTGGAACTACCTCAGGTGTTTTCTGAAGATGTCCTTAATGCAGTCCAAGCTTTCAGACAATGGCACAAGAGCAATAATGTTAAGACTGACTTGTAAAATACCGCTATATTAATAGTTTATAATAAACCGTTTAATTAATAATTCAACTACTAGATTTGTATATCTAAAGAAAAAAATATTAGAAATAATTGCACATGGTCTAAGTGGTGCCTAGTGGACCTGGACGAAGTTGAATTTATTCTAATGAAATTTTCTTTAGATGTCTGAATCGGATGCTTGTAAAAATGTAAATGTTAAAATAACAAAAATTTTCATAAAAAGTAATTAGTGGTCATGCATTTTATTAAACGGCTAGTGGTCCGCCCTCGTTTTGCTTCGGTCTATCTCTATTTAACTGATTTTGTTGCGTAGTCTAGGACTCGTTGTTCCAAATGCACCATTGCTCTGCTGTCAAAAAGATTGTTCCCTTTACCATGCCATGCCCATATTATTTAACTTTTATAGGACGCAGTGTTTTGTACACATCCATCACAGTTATCACAATAAAACTCACAACTCAAAATGAAAATTATTTGTTCAGTGTAGGCTGTTATAAGCTGTTGTGGACGTCAACTCAATGATAACTTTTGAATGCTATGGAATAGTAAAAAAAAAGGTAAATTTAAAAAATCAAAAAACCCGACTGCTTAATTATACTTCAAATAAAAACTGAAAAGAAAAAAACAAGTCCAGTAGTCTATAATTCTGTTAATAAGGAACAAAGCTACTTTAACAGTCGGGACCCATTAGATATTCAAGAATACATAATATTTTTCAACAGTGGGTCCCGACTGTTAAAGTAGCTTTGTTCCTTATTAACAGAATTATAGACTACTGGACTTGTTTTTTTCTTTTCAGTTTTTATTTGAAGTATAATTAAGCAGTCGGGTTTTTTGATTTTTTAAATTTACCTTTTTTATTTCACACTTTTTAGTTAGTATTTTAAGACGGTATATACCGTAGTCTAATATCGCGGGAATTATTAAGTACCTTGCGTCGGTCTTAAAGATTGATTTATTAAGACATATAAAGACTACCAGCGGGGTCAAGGCTACAGATGGGCCTCAATTTTCGCAAAAATGTGTGAAGTTAAATCAAGTCGTTACATAAATATCTCTAATGTATGTAAATTTTATAGTAAATTAGCACTTACTCAAAAAGTCATCTTTTGTTTATGTTTTTTTTAATAGTTTAGCAGTAAATGTAAAATTCATTTACTTTTATTCGTCGACTATTTAAAATTGGCAGTGGCTGCATTGTCATGTCAAGGCCGGACGTCTAAGATTGTGATATATACAAATTCAGTGTCAGTCCCTAGTCTCATAATTTGATATACCTACATAATTCACAGAAACCTTATATGTAGATGCCAGAAGTTAACTTCAAATGTTTTTAATCATCCTATATACAATACCAATCAATGACGTTTATGTCGCAGGTTGAAGAAAGCAGTAATTCCCGTCTGTTGTTTTGGACAATGGTGGCAACTGCCTTAGATCACTAAATTAAATAATTATGCAATCACCAAAGCAAAGTTTATAATATTTGATTAAACTAAAAGCGCATAATTAAATTTTCATACCGTTAGGTAGAGCACCATAGCAATCTCATTTATTATCAATTTATAGTTCTCTTTGTAGTTTTCTTTTAAAGCGTTCACATTTAACAGGTCAAAGACTGTGTTCGACCCTTTTTTATTGGTAGTGTAAAGCTCGAATGAAGAGTACTCCCAGTAGTGCATTCATGGCAATTATTTTCCATTTTTTTTTGGTTTAAAAAAATACCGAATAACGTATCACTGTTAAGCACAAATGCTAAGTAACTTTCACAAATATAATCAAATAAACCTATTACTTAGTTTATTATTAAATCTTTTTCATCAATTAAATACTTATCTTATCCTAACTATCTATACTAATATTATAAAGAGGCAAGATTTGTATGTTTGTAACAAATAATCTGTCAAACTATTGAACCGGTTTCAAATATTAATTCATCATAAGGTAGCTACATTATTTAATATAACATTTTTCTTTATTTAAATACATTTTGTCGGAGTGACATAGGCTATATTTTATCCCGATAAATAAATTTCGCCCGTACAATGCCCGGGTGGATCACTAGTAAGTATAATATAATATTACAGATGCGAAAGTGAGTTTGTTTGTTGCGCTTCCGTGCCCTAATAGCTAAATCGAATATAATGAATTCCCATATAGAAGTAGATGGGAACTTGGTTCTTAGCTACAACATCGCAATACTTATAGGCGTAGGGTGATGAAAGGGGTGATTTACCTGTAAAAATCTACATTATTTACTTTGAATTTTGCAGAATTATTACAAAACCAATATTATCGCGAGCTGATTAATAAATACAGGGATTCCAATAAGTATGTACTTACTAGCGAAAAATGGGTTATTTGTCATTATATTCAGTAAACCTTTTTTGTAACATTAAGTAATATCGTTAAAAAAAATGAAAAACAGTAAAATTCTGAGTTTTTCATTTAAATTCAATAATCATAAATACCTATTATGATAATATATTTTTCATCATTTAATAAGAAGGAACTATATCACAGTTTTATTGTTAGTACTTCGTATAGGAGCAGATACTGCGAATACCCCGTTTTTTTTTTAATTTGTACACCACGCTATCACTTTGTCATCGTTGTAACTTTTTAAATATTTGTCGAAATGACATAGTGTAAAAAGCAAAGTTTATCGCCTTTAAATATCAAAAGCGATAAAAGTATTTGTTTGGATAAAAAATGATTTGTTAATCAAAATGTGCATTTTGGAAATAGATATCAAATAATGTTTTAGTTTTGATTCACTATTTTAGCGGTAATGACTCACATATTAAAAATAGATATATGGTGTCACGGACTTTTTTTTAGAACTATTTAAGAGATACATTTTCACTCTACAATACATTTATATAACTTTTATTGTTATTGCAGTGCAGGCCAAAATGGCTCGCAGATGGGAGATGTTTTTCCGTCTTATGTGACACTTATTGTTATATATTGGCCAATTCACTCGATAACTACATAAATTATTATATATATGTAATTATCATATATGATCTATATTACTTTTAAGTTTCATTAAAATCCATTCAGTATTTTTTAAGTGAAAGAGTAACAAAGATCCTCAAAAACGTAAGATTGAAATTAAAAGCGTAAGTGGTTAATATACAACTTTAAAGCGTTGTAGATCCTAAACAATCACATAAAATGAAAAATGGTGTTAGGAACCTAAATATGATTTTTGATTATCTAGACAGTGATACCCCACTCGACATATTTTGTCAACTTATTTTTTTTATTTCGTCACAATATGGCGCCTAATTTTGCTCATATTGAATTTTGATTACTATCATATCTTTAGTAGCACTCCCATGATTGAGACGAATCGCTTGATGTATGAATCATCAAAATCGGTCCAGGCGTTTGGTCTCTAGTGTGCCACAAAGGAACAAACATACATATATAGACTGTTAAACACATAACCCTGTCTGCGCGTCGCGCTTCGCGCTCTTGCATTGCGCAGCCGGGTAAATATGTAGTATTGGGAACTTTATTGTACATATTGATGTCCTCTAAATAACTGTATTACATCACTTTACTCTATTGTAAATAATTTTAAACACCGTACGCGATATAAGGTTTAATAATATTTTTAGGAGCTCGATGGCGTAAGTGGTCAGCGCGTTCGGCTGCGATCGTTGAAGTTAAGCAACTTTCGTAGTAGTCGGTCATCGGATGGGTGACCAAAAATTTACTATGTCGAGCTCCTTCGTGCTTCGGAAGGCACGTTAAGCCGTTGGTCCCGGCTGCATCTGCAGTCGTTAGCACCCACCAATCCGCACTGGGCCCGCGTGGTGGGTCATGGCCCAATCTCCCTATTCCATCCATAAGGAAGGCCTGTATCCCAGCAGTGGGGACATTAATAGGCTGATAATGATGATGAAAAATTTTTACACAGGTTGGGTAATATTATCGAAGTTTTAATACGGATCCCTAAGTTTTTAAAAAATCTATAGGCTAAGCTTATCAGGAATCATGTATAATTCTAAATTTAAAAGAATTTTTCAAATCGCGCCTGCAGTTCCGGAATCTATTCATAACAAACAAACAATCAAATCTTTCCTCTTTATGATGTTAGTGTAGATTAACAAAATACATAGTTTTTTGTTCCCTCGATCTTCGTAACAGTGTTAAGGTGTGTATTAAATACATACCTACATGCAAATATACCTTACCTTAATATTTTATTTTTAAACATTTAATAAGTTAGTATAAACTGACATATAACTGAGTACACTTGTTTTATCAATTTCAACTTGTGCAGTAAAGCGTAGTTTTTTAAAACAAATATTAATTTACGTACCCTATTGCTCAGTGCATTAATACGCGGCTTAATGAGAGAGTTTCGTCAATGATTAAACCTAGTTATTTAATTTGGTTTTACTATCGACTGGACACTGACTCTGGCAATTGGTAGGGTCTTCACAAATATGAACATACAATTTTCTGATCATTGGAGCAGTCATTGGTATGCGCATACCAAATCTGATATATTCAGTTTGGTCGGAGTAAAGTGTAAGTAGATGCTGCTACAGCTAGTTGTTAACAATATTGATGCTTTTGGGTGTACATTTTTGGACTTCTACCACAGAACTCGAAATAGTAAGACAGTATCGTCTACATAAGAAATTATTCTGCCATTTTCCCGTCTCAAATTACATAGATCATTTATGTACACCAAAAATAAAGTTGGGCCTAAAATACTTCCCTGAGGAACCCCATGATCTATTTTCACACATTTACTGCGTTCGTGTAGATAATTCGTAAATAATTGAAGCTGGGTGCCTCTTATGCCTAAAGATTCCAGCTTTTCAAACAAAATGGTTATGGAAACTGCATCAAATAATTTTGCTAGTTCAATAAATATTGCTTTTCTTTCATTACCCTTGTCGAGTTACTAAATAGTAAGTTAATGAACAGCGTCTTCAGTGAATAACTTTGACTTAAAACCAAACTGTTTTTGGATAATATGGATTTGTTTTCTAAACATTGCACAAGTCTTGTAAATATTTTATCCAAAACTTTTGACGTTGCAGGAAGATGTGAAATGAGTTTATAGTTGGCACCTGATTTCTACTGCCAGGTTTAAATACAAGAATAACGACTACTTTTTAATACATCTAAGGAAATTTCTTTACTTAAACACTTCAGAAGAATATTAGTAAGCGGTAGAACTTTGACTTTTGCAATATTAATTACAGGGTTTTATTTTAGCCTTCATATGTAATTTATCTTTCTGTTTGATAGATGGAATTAGCCCTGGAGTAATCCAAGGCTTAATATTGCAATTTTTGTTACTTAGTTTTATTAATGTAGTGCTTTTAGATATTTCTTGTTGTACATTATTTACTTATTAAGACATACAAACTTCAATACAATAAACCAGAGGCCGCAGTCAATGCCACTTCATTGTTGCATGCAAATGTTTGCATGTGTCTTAGTTTAGGAATAAATTATTTAAGGTTAGTAGGACGGCTTTGTGACTGGTAATTGAGGAGTTAGTACCTAATGTTATTGATGAAAACTTGGATCTAAACAAGAGAGGGAAGCATGTGCGCAAGCTAGAGTTTAAAATGGTACACGTAGTCCCCGCCCCAACTTCCCTTGGCAACATCTCGCTCGTTAGCTTCTATGTGACAACGGTGTTAGCCACTGTCAAAATAAATAATCACCAAATATTTTTAATTTAAATTCTTTAAAACTGTACTTACGAATAAAATGACACGTTTTTCTCGTCTCTGATAGTGCCCGTGTATTTTGTGTTCTATCTAAAAACACTCATAGGGCTTTGGGCTGAACTGTTTGGCTGAATTTAAAAAAAATAAGAATTTCTTTTGATATATTTTGACGTTATCAATGGATTTTATGAATACAAATTTTGCTTTCAACATCAATTATCAGTTTTATTATTTATTTTATAACACATTTGCTCGTTAAGCGTCTCTTCTTGCACCAATTTCAATATCATAATCTATCACATTATACATGCGTGCGGTAATGTAAAGTAAAACGCACGGCTTATTATGTTCCATCTAAAAACGAACGATACTTTTTTAAATCTTCACTTTTTTATATTAGCAAAGAGTTTTTATGTCAGAAAGGTAGCCAACATTTTCTTAATAAAATTAACTTTGGGAGATAAAATAGAATATATACACATTTAATACTTTAATTTGATTCATTTTGACAATAAATTAAATTCATATATCGGTAATACAGTCACAAAAATATTAATTTACTTTATTAGTAACACTGACTGTTTTTTGTTCCTTTGCCTAAAAAAAGCGTTGATGCGCGCGCATCGCTAATCTGTGAAAAAGTAATTTCTTTTTCTTTTCGCTGTATTGTTTTTATTTGAAAATATTGTCAAGTAGTAACGAATTTTTTAATTTGACACCGCCAGAAGTCGAAAAAGGCTACGCTAAGCCTCTTGCCCTAAAAATCCACGGATAGATACTTACAGTCAAGCGTATCAAAATTTCATCTTATGGAAAACAAATAAAGGTGCAAATTCATTTTCAGAAAGTACGTATGTAGGTAGTATTATTTCCTCGCAAATGTGTTATAAAATGTCGTATGACATACGTGCGGTTTGATAATTACAGCATCTGTCTTCTTATAGCCCTCACCTATGGCTCGGGCTGTAATTCTCAACTTACCGCACTTATATCATAATGTACTATAATTTAACTGTTTGCAATAAAGTGGTCCTTCGCCGGATCATCATCGATTATCAGTTTTATTATTTATTTAATTTAAATGCTTGCAATAGGCTTTTTGTCTGGAAAAACGTAAAATATTTACACGTTGTAGCGAACTGTAGTCGCGGCGAAGGAACGTTCCCGACTGTGCCCGACTGAATGCAAGCTGTCTTACCAACCCCTACCAAAATTTTCCCCTAAGTATTTTTTAAATTCCCCTAAAATCCCTTGAATATAGAATTTTATATGTACCTACTTATTATCTAAATTCTTTCGTTGCTCATAAATTGAAACGTTACATGTTTAGTTACAGTAAATTATTTTATTGAATGAATGACAAAAATGAATGGTGAGACGTATGACGTGAACTATTGAAAGATCAAAATGTTGTTGATTTATAATTTTATCCATTGATGATAGGCAAAGAACTTTAGTCTATACAGCCTTAGGAAACAACCCGCCACACAGTCAGTTCATATCGTTGCGTTCTACGCATAAAACTAATAGAAAAGACTCTGTTTTTCGATTTGATTGCAAGTTTGTAAAAGCCCCTAAAAGAATCCCAAAAAAATTCCAGCCCCTAAAAAAGTCCATTTTAACACTTCTAGCCCCTATCTGGGGGCAAAACCCCTAAGTTGGGAACCGTGAATGCAAGTCGGGCTATTACCTGACTTTCGTATTACGAAATCAGAAGCGTGTATGACGTATCTATAACTTTAAAACATCATACGATATAACTAATCTTAACCCCTAATTTTAGCGTAGCATTTAGTACCAAACTAAGTTTAATCGCGCAGGTGTGGTAGAAGCATCATAGAATTATTGTAATCAGCAGTTCTTTAAATATCATCACAAATATTATCATTGAGTCGTAGCCGACCGGCTCGGATACACGCGCCGTCCATTTTTAAGACCGTAACCAAGGTAAGAGCAATTTGATTTTTTATCATATTGACCCTGACCGTGAACATTGATTCGTTGAATTGTTTAAACAAAACGTTGTGTCATTGTTAGGTAATGAATTAAATCTTCTTTTAGTATCTAGTAAACAGCTTTAAAGATAAGTTAATTATCAGATTGGATATAATAGTAATTTATGTTATTTACGGGTTTGTTACCATGTTTTTAAGATATTTCGGGACTGTTGCAAGCGCCATGATCACGGAGTAACTGACATCGCAGCAATACCATAAACAACATTAATTACTAAAATGTTAGTGACCATGAAAGTTGAAAACAAGAAATTGAATGTATACACATGTTTTTTTTATTATTATTACCAGTTTCAAAGAAATACAATTATAATGTTGTGATCAATCGCATCATTAAACCACAGAGGTTTGAATTTATGCGATGTACGCCTGCACGACAATATTTAAATTACTAACGGAGTTAATTTTTTACATTAATAAAAACAATGGTATGAATGCACATTTAAAATAGACAGGATATTATATTGGGCTTGGATAAGTACATTGGGAAATTTATTTTTATAAATTGTTTAAAAAGTATTCTTTTAATTTATTTTTAATACTTATTACCGTTTGTTAGAGTGACCCGTAATTTCGGCAGTAATTCATTGATAAATGTCGGAAGTAGGTAGGTGGCAGTTCTTTTTCCGTATACATTACATGCGCGACTCGTCTGCAGCTGGTTCATAGCCCCTGGTGGAAAATGCATTTACGCACCATACCGCGCGCTTGCCAGGCGCGCGACGTGTGTGGGACTCCCCGGCGACAACGCCGGTCCTACCCACTAAAAACCACCGGTACCCTCTGGTTCATAGCCCCTGCGCGCGCTATACAAGGGGTGATTTATAACTGTTTTAAGATCATCGTTAAAGAATTGAATTTGAATAAAAATGTATTTAAACTGAATAAAAACTGGGAAAGACACAACAAAACCAAGACGTGTTTCTTCGCGTTAAGGCACTCATTTACCTCATCCGTAAACTTAAGTAACAAATCATTAGTGCCTTTCCCAGCTTGAAACCCGAATTGGTTATGATAAATAACGTCGTGCTTTTTGTAAAAGTTGTTGGCATACATATTTTTCGATTATCTTATCAATAGAAGATAAAAGACGGATTTAAAAATATATATTGTTAATAACTAATAAAGAATTAGATTGTGATTTAGTCCCTGTAGCATGAGCACCGCAATTTACATTATATCACTTTTTTATCACGTCTTACTGTCAAACTCCATAAGTAGTAATTTGACAATTGAGCGTGATAAAAACGCATTAAATTAATAAATAATAATATTTTTTTCCAACAATCAAGCTAGCCCCAAAGTAAGTACTATAGGCTTTTGTTTTGGGATACTAGAGTAACGGATAGAATACATATATACTCATACATATATAAGTATATTTATTTAGAAATACATTTTAAACATCCATGACTTGAATACAAATGCTCGTATTCATCACACAAACATCTGCCCCCACCGGGATTTGAACCCGGGACCTCTCGAGTAGGCGACACCTTCAAACCCGGCGTATATACCACTCGGCCATGGAGCTCGGAGGTCGTCATTATACATATATATCATATCGCGGTGCTCATACTATGGGGCTGATATCTAGGAAACTCTTAAACGATATTGCATTGGTTCTGGGTCGATGTACAGACAATATTATTATGGATTCGCATTATCATGATCACGTTCAAACAATTATCGTCTTAACGTTATCAAATAATCCATTCCCTATTTGATAACTAGCAGATTAAAATTGATTGAACCTGTCGAGTTTCATAATTACCGACAATATTTTGTGAATTGACTTCTACACATAATGATTAGACTTGCAACGAATATTCGGTTACTATTCGGTATTCGGCCTATTCAGCTGCTTTTATTATATTCGGCCGAATACCAATTACTTAAAAAATATATTTTGTTATAGAGACATAATTGGTAAAATGAAAAATTAAAATCGATTGATTACGTATTACCTATATTCATATTTTCATTTCTCTTATATAATCATTTAAGTAGTCATTGGTACATAACACAGGTACATAATCATCTTCTAAATTGGAAAAATGGGGGACTCTATGTATTTGAATTATTGTGGTAATCAAAAGGCGATTGGGTAATTTTGTATGGAGGTTGGCTTGATTTTTTTTTCAGCGGCCACTGAACTAATTATGATTGTTTGATAGTACTATATATGTGAATTGTTCTTAGCAAAGTAGTAGTTCCATAACTAATATCGGAACCAAGATATTTGATCTTGAATTCTAACAAAAGTCATATGATATAAAAGCTCATTAAATTATCTCCTGAGATTATTATACATGTTTAGTATTGTGGTAACGCTTTCTAAAAGCTAACATTAATAAAAAAAAAGAAACAGATCAAAAACTTGAGCTAGAGTACCTAGAGTACCTACCTGGGCCGCGGTAGCATTGTTGCTCGATGACGCTGGGAAGTTCTTTGAAAGAATTCCGGCGGGGCGTATCATCGAGCACCTGAGGGAGCCGGACCCAAATTTGGCAGAGCACCTGTTCGGGTTCCGGCGAAACCGGTCCACGGCGGAGGTGGTGGCCCTTTTGAAGGGGTGGACCGACGCGGCCACTCGTCGGGGAGAGACTGCTATTGCGGTGTAGCTAGACATCAGCAACGCCTTTAACAGTCTTCCCTCCAAAATAATACCTGCCTTCATATTTGACAAAAAGTACAGTATACATCTACTGGATGACAACTATCCCAAGGTATCATACAAGGCTGTCATGATCTACACCGACAGCTCTAAAACCTCATCGGGCACGGGCGCGGGTGTTTTCTCTGAGGACCTCAATATACATATCGCTTTCCCCTTAAGCCCGTACAACACAGTTTTTCAAGCTGAATGTATGGGCATTATACTGGCGGCAAGAGCGATCCTTTTAATAAAGGTAACAGGACAGGAAATACGAATACTGTCTGAAAGCAAATCAGCCCTACAAGCTTTAGATGCCTGTTTAGTCAAATCGAGCCTCCTGCAAGAATGCCACCAAACCCTAAACACGGTAGGGTAAAGCAATTCTATTACTATCCAATGGATAAAGGGACACAGTGGATCACGCAGAAGCTGGCCCGGAAGGGGTCCGATTCGACCCCAACAGGTCCCAAACCAATCGTCCCGATGCCAGTAAGCTGACTTGTAAATAAAATCTGCGAGCACACAGCCGCATTACATCAGCAACACTGACTCGATCTGGAGACGTGCAGGCAGACCAAGCTCGCTTTGCCACGGGTGAACGCTGTCCTCTCCAAAACTCTTTTACAGCTAAGCAAACCTACATTGCGCATGGTAACAGGTGCCATTACCGGACATGCACATTTTAACAGACATCTTT